GGAGTTATCTGGTCAGTGTAGTTCATTCGCACTTTTTTACTCCATCCTGCAGGCTGCAAGTTAACACAGTATTGCGAGTTTTAAATAATTAGAAATCTTTACATTTCTTGTTACTTTGATCCTAAATCCCTCCCCCTCCGCCCGCACTTTTCTTTCAAAGCATTATATATTATAATTTAATTAGCTTCTCTGAAGGCCAAAATTGTTGTCAAAACTTTCATAATTTTTTTTACCAAACTCATCTCTTGTCGTTTTTTAAAGTTTTTTTATTGTCCTTTTTTTGGATAATTTTGAGTATTTTTAATTAATTAATTCTTTTTTCAAGAAAACCAGAATTTACTTAGAAGATAAAGTGATATTAGAAGTGTTGAATAGTTACAACAGACTTCATCCTTTGTGGTTTGATGGAAGCCAGACTGACTTAATCTTTCTGCAAGTTTTTTTATTTTTATTTTTATGCTTTACAAATAATGTGGGTTTTTTGTATTGGTAATTGGTGTTGTCACTTTCCACTTTCCTTTTACCCTCATGCCCCACCCTCTTGCTTTAAAACAAGAAGCAAATTGCGTCGAATTGTTATCTTTTCCCAGTACTAACATTTTTGTATGCAATTTTTGCCTGAAAACATTGCAAAGAAGATACACCAGGAGTCCGATTTTTTTTCTGGGATGAATATAATCAAAAATAATGATAAGAAAGGTTGTAACTGCAGCTATACATCGTAGTTGAGCTGAGAATATTGTGGATACTATTTTAGGATTTATTTGAATTGTAGAAGTGCATTTTTTCTAAACCTTTTCCTATACAGGCCATATTCTTTTACTGTATAATTTTTGTTACATTTTTTGTTTTCGTTATTTAATAATTTCAAAAATCCTGATATTTTAATTGTATCCTCCAAAATAGAACTTCCGCTCTTATTCAGCAATTATACACTGTAAAAACTAACGTCTTGGTTAGGTCTTAAATAAATCCCCCCAAAAATGTATTAATACTGCACTCTCAGCTTAACCACCACATCTAGCCTGTCACTCCCTTTTAGACTGAATTTGGTCTAAATACAGGTTTACCCACAAAGGATGAGACTGTAATGACGACACAAATTAATGATCTGAAGACTAGAGTTTGTCTTCTGCTTTTAATGATAAACAAAATGATAAAAAAGAAGAAAAAACTAAGTTAAAGTTTCAGGGAACCTTAGAAAAATTTCATACAGTCGTTTCTTGAGTCTAATCCTTTTTAAATCACCCTAATATATAACCCTCTCAGAAACTGCAGTAAATATAACAATGAAATTGGGGTTCTTGAAGTGTATATACACTAGGGTGTACATATACATCAGGGAGTAAGGAATAGAAGGGAGATATAACTGACGCAGTTCGCCCTACCATATGATTATCAAGCTTTGCAGACGGGTACTCCATTTATATATGAAATATTCAGAAAAGATTAGTGTATACGCGGTAGTAGTACATCAGACAAATATTTCATATACAAATGGAGTACCCGTCTTCAAAGCATGTATAATCATATGGTAGGGCGAACCGCGTCAGTTATATCTCCATGAATCTATTCCTAACTCTCTGGTGTACATGTATCATTCTTGGTAGCTATGAACACACTTGTTATCAAAGTAGACTAAAAGGGCAAGTGCGAGAAGACAGGAGTATAGTAGCTAACTAAGAATATATTTGTAATTCTAGCTCCCAATCCCATTTGGGTGTTCCGATAAACATGACAATTTTAAGATAATCAAGTATGATATTTACTATGTATTTCTAGTTTAAAAATAATAATATAAACAGACCAATATTTAATTATACTAAACTTTTTTGACTTTAAAGGGAGTGTTCGCGAAAAATGAAAGGGGGTATAGGCTTACGGCGAAAAATAAGCGCTTTTGATCGCTACTTATCTTACTTCTATCTGTTGCGTCTGTAAGGAGAAAATTGTTAAAAACGACTTATACTGAAGAACGTAACGTCCATACAAATTGAGAAAGTTGCAACACATGACTCGGATCGTAAAAAAATCCATTTAATTTCAAACAAATCATTCAGATATTACAACCTACAGTCATCGATTATTTTTCGACGCATTTCTGTATAGTTAATATTTCATAATATTTTTTATTTGTTATTCACTTAAAACGCCGAAATAGTTGGCCGCCAGGTGTCTCTGCTCTCGATGGTTTGAATGATTTCACGTGGCAGAGACACCTAGCGGAAAAAAACGTCGTTTTAAATGCATTGCATATTAGAATGGTTTATCGTTTAAGTTTGCTTTTTTTTGCTTCATGTAACTGTGTTTATACAATAATAAGTGAATGAAAAAGAGATAATAAAGAATTATATTTTTTTAATAGAGGTGAAGCAGGAGTATTTAAATTTTAAGTTCTCATGTAGTTCTTGGAGAAGAAAAAAGGAAAATAAAGAATTTAGAGATATTTAGGAAATGATTTAAGACATTCTACGATGGAGAAAGTCAGAAAGGATGTGTTAGTAGTGTTAGTTTATTATTAATTACTTTGTTGGGATAATTCTTTTTGTTTGACTAATCCTATTTTATCCTACTATAATGTACTCACATCCTCTGATTTCATATATTGTCATATTTCTTACTCCTTCATTAATTCCATTTCTTCCTTAGTTCTCTTTTCTTTTTTTTTTCCTGATTTTAATGAGACACAAAGCATATAATTTATCATTTATTAATTTCCATCATATAGATACTTTTCTGATCATAAGATTATATTTGTTGTCCTGATTGTTGAATAAGAAGGAAAGAAGACACCATATTTTCCAATTGGTTGATTAACCAGCTCGCTAGATCTCTTGACATTAGCTATTTGTTTCCTTTTCTGAGCCATAAGCACTCTCCACACCTGATAACTAGGAGGATAGCTACTCCAGAAAGAGCGATGATTTCGATTCCATTATAGCCTGCAGAAAGGAAGGAGTTCTGCGTAGTAAAGGAGAGATAATGTTTATTAGCTGTTCCATTGATTTCAGATGTTCCTTCTGGGAGGAGAAATGTATCTTCTTACCATGTTTCTCAGAGGCTTTCATCTCCTCCATTTCCTGTTTCCTTTCTTCATCTTGCAGCACAATTTCCAATCCCTGGATCTGAAAAACAGTATCAGTAAATTTATTGTAAATTTGGTCAGCTAACATAATACAATGAATAGTTTTGTTTTGTATAATTTCACTTATTCTTAAAACCTGATATTGAGTAGTGCTACAATGAACAACAATTTTCTCATACTGTCTTCGCAGGCTCTCAAGTTCTCATAATTTTGTGTTACTATATTCAAATTTTACTAGTTTTAAGGATTAAGAATAAATATATTGATTATGTATAAAAGATAAAATTCATTCGCTAAGTTCATGGTTTCATGTTGTTAAATACTATTAACCGCAAACTAAACAAGTTTAAAAGTAAAAAGAGGAGATAAAAATTAAAATAAGAACTACGAAAAAATTACAAATGAGACTGGCTCATGTTAGAGGGGACCAGTACTTTACTTGTTTAAAGAGATAATTTGTGTAAACGCTTTTTTTTCTTTTTCATTGCTTTTTAGTTTTTTAATTTTCTTTCCAATTGGTAAGGAATTAAGGTCTAACTAGAATTTTAAGTAGAGAAGGTTTCAATTCATAAAAAACAGAGGGGGAAAAACACTCAAAAAGGAGAAAAAAGAAATATTAACACCTGGTGAATAAGAATAAAGTTGTTTATTCTTTAATTTTAAGCGACAGGTTTTTTGGTTATTTTTCTTGAGATCTTTCAACTAAATTCTCTTGTGATTTAACTGTAGAATTTGTTCCTGATATTTACTCCATATACACTCTAACTCTAGGCTATACTTGTCCTTTCTTTTAACTATATTCTTTTTATAACTAATTTTGTACGTGTTCGCTAAGAATGGGCATCATTTTTTTTAATTTGTGTTATTACGAAGTGAAAAAGTGAGTGAATGCATTGCATATAAACAAATAACAAATATTATGAAACATTAATTATATTCGAATGCGTCGAAAAATAATCGATGTCGAAAGATTTTAATATTTCAATGATTTGTTTGATATTAAATTGATTTGTTTACGATCCGAGTTGAATGTTGCATCTTTCTGAATTTGTAAGGACACTACGTTCTTAGGTATTAGTCGTTTTTAACAATTTTCTCCTTACAGACGCAACAGATAGAAGTAAGATTAGTAGCGATCAAAAGCGCTTTTTTATCGCATTAAGCCTATACCCCCTTTCATTTTTCGCGAACACTCCCTTTAAACTGTCACATTTATTGGGACGATATTTACACAAAATAAACACAAAAACAAATGATGAGTTAAGTTCCTTAAGAATTCTCAAATGTTAGTTTGTAAACGACAAAGTTCTTGTAAATTACCCGCCTAATTGATTGTTTCTTAAAACAAAATGAACGTTCAGATTTTTACATTCTTAAATATTAATGGATTCAGATTGACATGACAAGTTGCATACATTTTCAAGACTGGGTCAAATAAAAAGTGTAGCACCGCCTTTGCTCATGATATTATCTCCTTAACTCACAAATACAAATGTAAAGTTTAGAACTATAATCTACAAAGGTAGATCACTATGAGAATAAAAAATATAGAAAAACTAAAGCATTTCAGTCCATTTTTCATCCTCATTTTTTAAAGTGCGCACATTGGATATTGAGATCAAGCGTTCAATCCTAACAATACTCAACACAATAGTTCCGATGTCTGGTTTATGTTATTTAAGATGAAGATGAGCTGGCAGTTGGTATTTTTACCCCAAAAAGCTTAATGATAAAGGACAAAAAGAAAACATAGTTTAAAAGATATTCAGAAAAAGATATCTGAATAAATGAAAGATAAAAAGAATGCAGGACAGGAGGTGCAGGGGGGGGGGGAATATTCTCAGGTCAAACTGAATTCAAGAGAGAGAGGGAGAGAGAGAGCTAGACGGGGATTATACTTCAGTAATTCCCTCACTGTTCCCTCAGCATCATATTATCTAACAGTGCATACTGCATATAAACCCAGATTTTTTCTTAAAATTCAACATGTTGCGAAAGAGTAAATCGAAAAACAATATTGCACGTGTAAAAGTGATATTCTAGTTCAACTAAATAAAAAAAGTGTTTATCAAAATTTTGTAACTATTTAGTAAAAAATAAATCAGTGAGTTTGAGATTATCTAACATCGCAATCTAATAAGATGAGGGGAAGGTAAGGTTCCGATTTAAATTGTATTTGATTCGTAAATTGGTTAATCTTCAGATTAGGGTTTTAAATTGTTATTTAACTTTTAATAAACAATTCAAATTCGAAAACTCTCATTTTTGATTTGATCAATGCACATTTTAAAAATATTTAAAATATTTAGAATCTACAAAGTTATCAATATTTGATTTTTAAGTGCACTGTTTATTACTTAGACTACAAGAACAATAGGGGGTTTACGCAATTAAAAAAAGGATTTTACAATAAAATCTTAAATACAACTAGAATACTAAAATATAAAACACTAGGACTAATGTACGAGATATTTAGAACACTTAAATACTTTTATGCTGGAAAGTAGTCTTATGAAAATCATTTTCTTTTTATTTTTACAAACTTTTAAAAAGATAAAAAGTTAAATTCATTAAATCTTTATATTTTGCTGTAACAAGCCCTTAAATTGGACAGTTTTTGAAACTCTTGAAACTCAAGTTAAAGATTAAAATCGGAAATAACAAAAAATTCCTTTCTGCCATACTTCTACTAAAAAGATACAATCAAATGAAAAATGTACTTTCTGATTTTTGGCTTGGCTTCGTTTGGGTTTTAAATTTTTTTCTAAAATATTGAAGCCAAGTTATTCTTGTATAATTAATGAAATCTAAAGTAATCACAATTAAAATTGATTTTAATTCATTTCCACAATTTTGCTTTCCGAACACAATTTTTAGATGATTTATAAGAGACAGGATTTTATTAATCTTTAAAAGCTAATCTAATTCAAAATTACAAAAAGTTATTTTTTCATTACGTCTTATCAAGAAATAAGATTGGGCACATATTCAAATTACAAGAAATTCTGTAAAAACAATTTTCTGTAAACTTTCTTCCCTTAAATTACTTTAGCAAAACTCTTTTTAAATTATAAAATACACAGCTATTTGTTTGATTAACCCTAAACTATATTTTTTTTCTAGATTTGAAATCTTGGTGTTGAAACTTTTCTTCCTACTATCACCATCAAAGAGGAAAACACAAACATGGAAATTTTATTTCTGATATACTGTGTTTTGAATTTGTATCTAATAATATATTTGAGATCTATAATGAATATACAAGAAAAATAGATGGGTTGATAACAAAAAAGTATTTTAAGATAAGATAAAAAAGATAGTAAATAAATATGACATGCTGTGTTTTCAAGATAAAAAAGACAATATAGATAGTTATAGATTAAGATAGCATAGACATGGTAAAATGTTTTGTATATTGTAATATTTTTATGTGACTTTTTGTGTTCCACATTATTACACACAACGTTTTAATATATAGATTCATTAACGATCTGAGGGTCTGGACAGATAGACGAAGATTTAAAGTGGATCATCCTAAAAATACTAGAAAACTGGTCAATAAGCGTAATAATATGGACAAAAAGTAGTTTTTAAGGGACCTACTCCCAACTGCATAGAACATATAAATTGTTTTTTTTTCACTGCAACTAGGTATTTTACGTTGAATTTGTTGTTGTAATAATACTGTTATGGCATTGAATTTGTTGTTGTTTGGGAAAAAATGAAGTTTTCTTTAAATGGATACATTTTTTACCTCTGTTTTCAGTGTATTATATATATTTTTTTAAGTATCATTGATGGTAATATCATTTTGAAACTTCTTGGCTTCTAAGGATGAAAAATTCACTAGAAATGATTTAAAATGTTTTTTATTTCATGGAAAAATCCTTTTATTTAAACCTTTTTTTATTGGTAAAAATCTTTTGGGAAAGTATCTAATATCGATAGATAGAGCATAGATCTAAAAGTTAACTAAAAAGAGAACACAAAAATCTGTTAAAAAATGTTGATTAACATAAAATTTGAAATATCCATGTTATCTTGGTAAAGTGCCCTAGAGGTCTACAAGCCTATTATTGAAGGTAAGATGTTTTTGCAAATAAAGAAGAAATACATTTTTGCACTGCACTCAGGAGGACAAGTGTAAACTGTGCATGCAAAAAATAAATGTAGTTTTTCACATAAGAGCAATAAAACTTTCAGTGGAGAATTTAAAAAGCATTTGTTTGCTCGTCCATTCAGCAAACTAGAATAAACAAAGTTTTAATTAGCTGTTAATAATATTTTATTAGTTCAACTCCTCTTTGTTCAGAACGCACATTGTATTTAATCTGTGTCACAAAATTCAATAGTCACTACATAATATCATTCATAATAATGCTATTCATTCTAGGTTCTCTTAAATCAACACTGATTCCTGAGTTTTTAACTGTAGATCAGGGAAAGAATGATAATTCCAAACCACGCATTTGGTTAAAAAAATGTCAACGTTAGTCTGTTTCTAAAAAAGAGGTAGAGATTATAAAGTTGATCAGTGGTTTCTTTTATCTGATAAAATATTTAAGGACAGAGTTTTTGAGAAAATTCATTATACAAAAACGTTGAAAAAATAATAATGCCATTTTTATGGTCATAACAACCCTATTTAGCTTGACGTCTGGTTTACTAACTGGCTGCGGGGGGGGGGAATTGACCCATTCCCCTCTATTTTCTTTTTGCAATACCAATCTATAACATTTGATTCGTTTTTGAAAGTCCTTGGGGTCTACTTCAATGATCTGCAAAAAAATGGCAAATTGCAAAAATCCAAATATTTTTTGCGAAATCTAGTTATTAAGCAAAAAATGTGCCAACAAAATGTACAAATTATAAATTTTTGAAAAGCCTAAGACTCAACGAATTCAAATTACAAAAACATTTGCAAAATTTGTAAAACCTAAATGTGTATTTAAGAAAAACTGAAAATGTGCAAATTTCCTGAAAAAGCGTCTTTGCAAAAATTGTGCAATTTGCTTTCTTTTGTTGTAGGCTCTCCAAAGAGCTATATAATGCAGAAATCCAATGATTGGAAGTAGGTCTAAATAAAAATTTAGTCAGGTTTCAGTAAAATAAGACATTTAGGCAGTATGCCTAAGGGCTCAGGCAGTAGGTATAAAATCCCAGCTTTTAGCCTGAAGTAAGGGGCACGTGTTTGTTGTTTCTGTTAAGTTATCGCAAAAAAAACAGGGGGGTCAACCCCCTCCCCACCCGGTCAGATATGGTATACCATATTAATTTTTCATACTTCTAAAGAACCAAGTTGTGAAAATAACTGCTGGAGAAACTCTTCATCTAAAATGCCGAGTCATCAATCTTGCAATTCATCACACGGTAATATAATGTCGTCTTTACACACTCTTTCTTTCAATCTATGTATTTTTCTATCTATGCATTTTTGAAATATCTACTTCTGAAGAATGTTTATGCTAGAATAAAAAATTCAATGAATATTTTAGTAAATTTAGCTGTGCTTATAACATATTGCTAGGAATTTTGGATTGATAATTATAGATAAATTGATGAATATATATATATATATATATTTGAAGATAGACTTGATAAGCAATGATCATGTATTGTACTTGAAGGATTAGAAGGATTGTATTAATTAACATTCACAAACAAGAAGAACCTGGGATATTAGAGTAACAGATGGGAACACCATACAGGGGATATAAAATACTTGAGGGAAACTATAAGAAATATAAGATGAAAAGCTAAGGAATAAGAGGATGATATTATTACATAATACGATGATAAAGTGGAAGAGTGACGATTTTTTCTAAAAACGGTTAGTTTATTTATAATTTTTATAATCTAAACTACTTTAAAGAAGTTTAAATGAATTTATGTACAAATCACTGACTACGTTTACCTGTACAATCAATATTGCTTAGATATTTCTCCTCTTCCGACATTCATCTTATAAGTTACAACAAAACTAGAATTCGAACTCATTTAAAACAATTAAATGTAGATTTTAACATTTTCTATTTTTTTGTTGCACTAGCTAAAGTATTTAAAAAGATGTGTATTGCTAATTGTTTTATGGTTTTAAATAAAATGTTGACAGAGTTTATAAATTGCATAAACCTTAGTTTGTTCAGGGTGATTCCAATACATGGGACAGCATGGTGCATTCGTCAATTTTTTTAAATATTCTAGTTATGTGTACATATATGTATTATATATTTGAATATTCTAGTTTCTATACAGGTATCCTGGCTACGAGTATCAGACGTGCAAGTTTTAACCGTTGGAGGTCTAGTATTCAGCTCGGATCCAAGAATTCAAATAGATGTGAAGGTAAAACACCAAAAATACAGGGAACTCCTTTTATATACAAAAAAAAACTTTTGTAATCTGAACCCATCCTTGCTAAATACTTAGTTACCTTCCTCCAATCCTTTGTATCGCGGCAAGTTCATGATTTGTCGAACAGTCATCTACTTCAGCTATCTTCGCATAATTTCTTAAAGCAGTTAACGCTCTCCAAACCAACACTTCTAGCCTTCGGTTTCTGAGACAATCGAATCACTCAAATTACTGTGCAACAATTTCTGTCAGGCATTTTTACCAGAAAAATTATTCAAAAGAGGTGGCAGCTGTTTGGCCTATAGTCGTACTTTAAATCAAACTTTTGATTTGGGGTATATAACTAAAAATAATATGCCAGTGGCGCTAAATAAGTATTTTTAGTTTTTTTATTAAGGGTCAAAATCTCAATTCTTTTATATGTTTTCGCAAAAAAATAAGAATTTGTGCAATTGGATAAGGAAATAATCGACGTTTTTCATTTCAAAAAAAGTTATCTGGCAAAAGTGTTTGTCTGCTAGAGTTTTTGATTTGTACCATGTTTGTACTTCACAGAATAGCTCCGGCAAAAAATAGAAAAGAGAGAGAAGCATCGAGACTATAAACCAAGTGTTTACAAATGTACTGAAACTTGTGTTAAAGTCGTCGCAATGAAGCATTTCTTTTCGACATATACATATTGTTTTGATGAAATATCTTTTGAAAAAAGTTCTCAACTTCCTGTTTATTTGTATTCAAAATCCACTGTACAACGAAATCCTATCCGTGTGCTTTTTTGGTTTTCTAGGATGTAAATTGTACATAATTATTGGCTTACGGGCTATGTTGTAGGGAGAACAGTTTACCAAAAAGTTATTCTTTTTTGAAAGATAATTCTTTAATGATTGCAATCAAAATATTTTTGTTAAATGTTTGTTAAAGGAATTGAGTTTTTGCAACAAACTTGCATTTTCTAACCCCTATATCTTTGCAACCTGATGGTGTAAACCTTTGATATTTCAAACTTAGACTATTTGATCTACCAGAATTAATGGTTTGAAATATCAAAGGTCTAGGAAAACGGTATGCTAAGTTATAGGAATTAGAAAATCTGAGTTTGTGGCAAAAACTCAATTCCTTTACAGCTATTTTAGCGTACAAATCTTATTCTTCAACAATTTTGTCTTAATATAAAAAATGTTAAGTTTCGACGATAAAGGGTAAAATCAGACGTGTTAGTACTGAGTATGTAACTGAATTTTGTTTCGAAGGAATTTCAAGTTTAAATTATTCAATCTAACAGAGCTTATTCATTGAAATATCTAAATATGTCTACATATCACCCTCAACTAACGAGAGAGAGAAGCATTCGGTTTCTTTTATTTGAAATCAAACATGTTTTTGTCTATAACTCAACAGTCTTTAGACTTAGAGATTTGTTTATTTTATACTTTTTTATTCATATGTATATGCCAACAAAAAAATATTTTAGATAAAAGGCTATAAAACTATGTAAAAGGGGTCATATTGTAATCGAAATTCACAGTTTTCTGAAATATTGACAGAACCGTTAAATTCACGTGATAGGAATTAGAAAACCAGAGTTTTCTAATTCTTAAACAATTTGACCCCTTATAATAACTTTAAAAGGAACAATGAACATTTGCCCTAAACTCTAATATTTGAAATCATATATCTTTGCGAGCAATAATATTGTTATAAAAGATTTAACAATTAAGGTTTCTACCATTATGTTATAAGAATGTCGTGGAGCCTCGATATTTTAAGCGATAAACTTTGACACATCAGGTTGCAAAGATATAGGGATTAGAAAATTTGCTGTTTGAGAGAAGTGTTGTTCACATTATTCATTTGATTTTCACCCTACACGCGATGTGACTCATGAGTGAGGCATCCTGTATAACAATATGCTGCTAACAGGGCATTCATTGCATATCGTTTTTGGTACTGAAACCAAGGTATTCAGCACATATTATTTGATGAAACCAAAGTATTAAGCACATATTGTTTAATGAAACCATAGTATACTGCACATATTGTTTACTGAAACCAGGATATTCAGCACATATTGTTTACTGAAACCAGAGCATACCGCATATATTGTTTACTGAAACCAGGATAGTACATATTGTTTACTGAAACCCGAGTATACCGCACATATTGTTTACAGAAACCAGAATATTCAGCACATATTGTTTACTGAAACCAGAGTATACCGCACATATTATTTACTGAAACCAGAGTATACCGCACATATTTTTTAAGGAAACCAGGATATTCAGCACATATTGTTTACTGAAACCAGAGTATACCGCACAAATTGTTTAATGAAACCAGGATATTCAGCACATATTGTTTATTGAAACCAGAGTATTGAGCACACGTACAGAATACATATGATCGAAAAATTAAGAAAAAACAACGATAATGCAAAATAAAAGCAAACACGAATGTACACAAAAAATGTTCAAAGAGAATACTGTTAAATACAATTGTACAACTGTGTATTGACCTTTTATGAATAAATACTTATAATAAATTGTAAACAAAATTAAAATAACTGAAATATTCTTCAATTTTATTGCATAAAACACACTGGATCAACCACAAACTGGGTACACAAGACGGGCTGGTAAACGAGTAAATCCTTGTACCAATTCGGAGCTTGTAATGACCTTTTTAATTCTAAGCGACATATCATAATTTAAAAAAAGAATTATTCCACTTATGAAAATTATAAATCTTTAGTTTTCAGCAATAGCTTGATTAATTTTTTAAAGGATTGCTGAGAAATTTTCAATGTTTTTTTTCTTTCAGTCGTCGAAAATACCTGGATCCGGAACTTGGATTTTTAGGTAGGAAATATTTTGTTTTTCACTTATAATTATTAGTTGAGAAAAAATTAAGGCAAACTTTCGTGCCTTGCTTTTGAATTTAGATTTAAATTGAGGGTAAGTGGGGTAACATCAGATTGATTTTATTTGCAATTAAATATTTATAGTATTCAAAATTGTTTACTTATTCTTATAACTTTTTTTTGTTTAAGAATTCGAGAAGTATTGAAGCAGGATGAAGGGGTATACCAGTGTCAGGTAAACCCCCCCCCCCCTCCTCTCCTCATCCAAGGGTTTCCATCGCTTGCATTGCATTGCAGACTAAATCAGAAAAAGAATAAGTTTGGAAAGTTTTCCTTATAGTGGAACCCATAACACTATACTCAAACAAACACATTTTGTTATTTTTAAATATCGCCTTCACAGGTTAATACGGAACCAGCGACAACCCTGGATATTACTGTACACGTTTCATCAAACTCCCTGCCAGGTGAATTTTTGATCATTCAATTTTTTACATTTTCGTTTACGTAAATATTTATGTAAAAAATTACAGATGGCTTCTATTAGTATTTTTATAAGTATACTTTCAACGGTTTAAAAACCCTGTCTAAGACCGTAGAGGTGGATACATTCTTCATTTCGAATATATTGAGAACATAATTCTGTGTATTGTCAACACTATATTCAAGCTTAAATTATCTTAAAGAAAGTTATTCTTCCAAATAGATTATATTATCAAGTACAATTAGGTGGCAAATGAGAAATGGACCAATTATACACGACACGTCACAAGTGTCAAATATTTTCAACATTAGTTGACATGTTTTCCAAGATTAAATAAAAAAGTTTAAAAACAGAAAATAACGAACACAAAAAAACACACTTTTTTCACTGTAAGATAAGCACTTAATCTAAAATTATCACAATCATTAATAATTTTGTCAGACACAAAACAGAGTGGACACTTGTGACGTAAGAATATATCTGAACTGAACAGTGTACAAATTCTACGTTGCGATCTATTGTACTTGACACTCTATTTGTATTCTTCGGTTGAATTTTCTATTGCGTGTTTAATTCTGATGTAAAATGAAACCGGTTCTTTAATGACCCATTATTAAAAAAATTAAATTCTTAGTTTTCCATTTGTTAAGCGTCAACCAAAAATAAGCATAAGTCATGAAGCTCGAAATGTACAAAAAAAGTGTACTGCAGTATTTTAGAGTATTATCGATTCCGATACAATGGTGCCAAAGAATGGAAGCTGGTTCAAGTTTAATCTTCTGTACAGTCATAGAATATAATTTTGATTCATCCCAATTCTAAACTTTTTAAAGTATTATAGACAAACAAACAAACAAAAGGTCAGATTTAGATTTTTAGATTATGGCGAACTTTAAGATGAGAAATTTTTTTTTCTTCAAAATATAAACTTTCCAAAATGATTTTAAAATAATTAATTTAAAATTTTCAACTACGGAAAAATAATACATTTTAAGTATCTTGATTACAAAAACAAAGAAAAACAATAAGATTTAAATTTTTCAGATTATGATAGATTTCAAGATGATGCAAAAGAGGAATCTTCTAAAGGAAACGATTCAAAACTGATTCAAAACTAATATTAGTCACATTTGTGAAAATTTCAAACACGTAAAAGTCGATGTACATTGTACATGCGGCGTTGATGTATTTTGAAATCTATTTAGAGCTGTTCTCAGATCCTGTGGAGCATTCAGATGAGATACTTTCGACTTCTAGTCTTAACATGACTTTAGCAAATTCAAGTTTGAGCGAGGAGGTTATGTTTGAGAATGATTTAGAGGATGAAAATATGTTTGGGAAAGACTATAGAAATAAGAACGACGATGATACTGGTTATAAAGAGAACACTGAGAATGACCAACAGGGATTTTATAACAATGAATTCTCCACACCGGTTTCTAGTTTAACGTAAGAATTTAAATTAGAATATTATTTTTCAAATAGTAGCTATGAGTTGGTTGAGTTAAAACGATGTAGAATATATCCTAAGCTTATTAGATTTATATTTTTGGACCGCTTTATTTTAAGGTAGAATCCGCTAGTTCTTAATAATGCGAGATGTGCAACGAAAATATTAAAGTTACTTACCACTCTGATGGGTTTGTGAGAAGGTTAGGTCTTCAAGAACGGTGGTCGGACTAAAATTCTTCCAGAATTACGTACTAATAATTATCAAACTTAGAAAAGGAATTGAAAATCGCAACAAATTAAGATTTTCTATTACGTATATCTTTGGAACCTGATGTTAAAACACTTTGATATTTCATACAGTGAAACCCTTAATAAGAATACATCGGAAGAATTTATCAAATGTCGTCTTGGCCATTTTTTAATGAGTTTTATACTATATTACGTAAATTTCAGTATTTGTGAAAATAAATAAATATCCATGAATATGCGGAAACAGTTTTATAGAGCTCCATATAATCATTTAACTAAAAAACTAAATATATGCAACATTCCATTATCAGAAAGTGAAGAATACGACATTTGATGAATTCTTTCGATGTATTCGTTATTAAGGGTTTCGCTGTACTAAAAATGTTGCTTGGTTATTTCATCAAAGTTTGACAAAATCATTAGGCTGTCATATCAAAGTTTGAAGTTTTTTAAGTTTATGGCTAACATTTTCTTTTAGTGATAAATTAATTTTGGGGTAGTTCTAATCAAAACATTAAAACTTCCTTTGAAAATCAAAAGGTAAAGGCAAAACTTGAAAATCATGTAACCGTTGTTAGAGGGACATTTTAACTTTCTTAAACACTAAAAAGGCTCAGTGCTCAGTGGGTGGGGAGGGAGGGAGGGGGGAAGGTATTTGAGACAGATATATCCTTTTAGTGTCAAAGTCAAGGAAAATGAAATCTAAGGAATATCCCAAATTCTCTGGTTTCAGGAAATCTCCCAAATGCCCGCAAGGTATTTTGGAATCTTCCAAAGGTCCCAAATTGCTTACGAAATCTGATATTAAACGATTAAATTTTGTTTCCCATATGCCTGGTTATTTGTGTGATCTGCAAAAAAAGTATAAATCTCCTGAATGCCTGGGTAATTTTCCAAAATCACAAATCCTTTTTGTCTTTTTGGACTTTTTATTGTATTTCAGGGAATTTGTGGAATTTACAAAATGACTGGGTATTTTGGGATTTTAAGACCACGTTTGAGAATTCTTCAAATTTAACCTTATAATAAACCCTTTTTATAGGCCTGGTCGAGCTTTGAGTGAACCCAACCCACTTCAGTCTCTCTTGGAACCATCCTTACCAACATCAATTATCCAAATGGAAAAAAGTAAACAATAGCAAACATTGAAACAAGTAGTGATCATGTAATTTATCTTTTTTTTATGCAATGCAACGCTTTTTTCATTTTTAATACAGGGTGTCCCAATAAACATGGGAATTCAGTGACGAACTCGATATCGTCTTTTCAAAAAATTCTTTGATTTAGTATAGTGATACCTACTCAGAAAGCTGTAATCTGTAAGAGTTTCGTCTGCTATGTTCACATTTGGGTTGTTTATGTTTTGACTGCATACGGTTGTACTTAGTAAAACAAGAAAATTGCAGTATACAAACAGAGTAAACTTGTCCGTCTTCACTGCTCAACTTGCGCAGATATAATAGACACACCTTTACAGTCTTTTACCCTTTTCATAAGATAAATTCTAGCAGACATTATAATATTATGGCTGTTGAAATTAGGTATTACAATGCTAACTCATAACAAAGACGATATCGAATTCGTCACTGAATTCCCATGTTTTTGGGACACCCTGTATGTTAACTCGTCTTTGATAATACTTAAGATTTAAAGTCTATTATTTTCTAAAAACACAAATTCATATTTCTTTATGAATTAAAGAAATACGTTTTAATTTTAGTATTAGGCATTTACAGCTTTTAAACATTCTAGAATGAAGATTTTAGGCTTTTTATAGCCCCTAATAAAAAAAAATTGAAATACTTTTTTGAAACCTCTGGAATGCTATGCATTTATAACCTAAATGAAATGCTTAATTTTAAGTACACTTGCGGTCAAGGTAAATAAAAATTACAAAAAATGTACAGACCAAAGAGACACCACGTCTTTTTTGCTAATTGCCTTTTGGGTGAATAAGGATTATTCTAGGCGATGAGAAAGGTGTTCAAGAATCTGCAGATGAGAATGCTCTTCTTCAACCCATTCTCTCATTGTTAACAGTTGCCGGGTTTATTATTATTCTGGGATCCATCAGATCTTATTATAGTTCAGCAAAGGTAAATAAATATAAACTGTAAACACTTCATAAAGAGAGAGGGAGTTTTTTTTTACTTTCTAGCTATTTTACAGTGGAAGGCGATTATATCAATATATTTACAAGCTTTTTTGAATTACAAGCTTACAAGTAATCAAAGAAAGTTTTTTTTTAACTCGTCAGCTTCTTGTTGTTTTCACGTTTATGTGTGTTATTATCTATGTTGTTTAAAAGCTTGATATAAATCAAAATTGATATCCAAACTGGTCATCATTGTATTAATATTTGCGACGACGACTGTATCTTAACAGAAATCACAGTTACTTGTAAAAGTAGTAATATGGCGCACATTTGTATTTGATTAGCAATCCTTTCTTAATATAGATGTTTGAAGTAATGTGATAGTTCAGTTTTCACTGTTTGAAGTAATGTGATAGTTCAGTTTTCACTGTGTCAATTTAATTGTCATATGACTAAAAAAGCTATTTAAATCACTTTGGTTCAGAATGAAGACGACCATATGAAGCCCAGGTCCAGAACAGGAACAAACAATAGCAGACAGTCAAGAATAGGAACAGATGACAGCCGACGATCTAAGACAGATACACCAGAAAGAAGAAAGGCATCTTCAGGTTATTCTCAAACTATTTTACGAAAAAAGATGTTTAGAAATATAGATTTTAAGATTTGAATTTTTTGGCTAAATAACTCTACCACATTTATAGGTTTATATAAAATTTATGAATTTATTTTTTTATATATAGGCCGACAAAAGCCCATGATAGATGAGGAGGAAATATATTTGGAAATTAGGTGAATATTTTAGTCAATATAGTACTTTCTCATAAATTATGGCACAGTAATCTACACCATCAACTTATTCGTTCGGAAAGCAAATACAGGATCAGCTGATCCATCGGATATTGAGATTACAGAATCAACCAACCTTTGAAAGGATCATATTGCAGGATCATATGATCCATCAAAAAGATCCGATTCAATTTAGAAGGCGTCCCATGAAACATAACAGTTAAGAGACGTCTTGAATGTCGTCTTTAATCTTTAAAATAATATGCAGTAATTTTATAGGTAGAATTTTTAAATTAATAATCACATAATACTTCTTTTCCAAAATTTTCAAAGATGTGGTCAGTATTTTTTGTGCTTTTACAATTATTGGAAGTGTAAAGAATTTTGTTCATATTTTAACTAGTTTGGTTTTAGTATTAATAGATATATCTAATGATGAATAAATATAATTCTTAATTTCTTCTTTAATATCAAAAAAACAAAAAGACAAACCACATTTTTGAATGTTTGTTTCAATATTGTAATGATTGTTTCAAGAAGAATAATGCATGTAAAAGTAGGTTGAAGAATTTTGGATGTTATATACCCCTACAGTTATAGTTTCTCTATGGATTCAAGCTCGTAACTCGTTTTACATTTTTATTTTTTGTTTAAAAGCTATGGTTGCAAAATGTTTTTTTTAAAATTTGCACAAGCTAATAGCTTTTCTAATTCTTAAAATGTGAAAAATATCAGAGCGTACAATATTTTCAAATCTTCGTAATATATAATTTTTGTAAAATTAAAATGTTTTTAGGAGGACAACACCGCTGGTTCAAGTTGTCCGGTCATCACCGTTAGAGAATGAAAAAACTACACGCAAGGTATATACTGTCGATTTATTGGGAAAATTAAAATAGTTGGCGGGTTAAAAATTATCTTGCAATAGTTTAAAAAGTTAAGTAAAGAACAGCAAAATGGAATTTAAAGATAATAATGGGATAATGGAGAAAATCAAGAAAAAAGATTATGTATCAATAAATTATTGCAAACCTAATTTAAATGTCTGACATTTGTAAAAATACTAATCTTTATATCGTAATCTTGCGNTTTTTTAGGGAAGAGTTCATAGTGAAACATCAGACTATTCTGATTCTAGTGGAATGACTGAATATAATAGAGAAGCAAGGAATGAAAACAATTTCTTACGTTTGTTTCAAATATGAGTACGCACTCACATATATAATTACTTAATATTTCTATATTTTGCTGTCTGTCTGTTTGTTATTATCCAATAAACGGTTATACCGATCAGGCCCACTCCCCCCATAGGGTAGGATTATGGCTGGGCAAAGTGAAATTAGTGACTACTATTATCATTTTAGAAAATGTGCAAATTTAAATAGAAAAATCTGCGAAAATTTCCGGACGATTAAAAATGGCGATTTTTAGATAACAGTTATAAAATAGTAATAAAATACATACTTTTTCAGTTCACATTTCATTCATCAATCAATCGTACTTAACAATTAATTTTTAGGTTCTATAGATTAACTTTCTTCAAAAATAATATATATGTATCATTCGTGTATAATATCTGATAACAATGTTATATGTAACTATTATAAGTCTATATTTTATGATTATATATCGCATTAGATTGTATTTGATTGACATACCTAAGTTTTGATAATTATGTCTTATATTCCAGTAATATTTGATTTTACCATAATATTAAAAAGCAAATTGTTTTTTAGTACCAGCCGACCTGTTAGTAAAAAGTCAAATTCAAAAACGACAAAATATGCAGGAATCAACAAAACAGGGGTAAGATAGTTGAAATTGATCAAATTAAACATTTATCTAAGTTAATTGGAACTATACAACATACACAGAGTGTACCAAAAACGCTCTTTTATGCATTGTAGCACTCACCATGATTAAATTTTAAATTTTTTTTTTACATTTCATGGATTATTTCCAATCTATTGATATCAATTAGAGGTGCAGCGCAAAAAATTGAACAAGAGATAATAGTTTGAAATTGGACTTTGTCTTGGTTCAACAGTCTTTAAACTTGTCTTATTAAACTTTTTCATTCAAAACGCATATGCCGACAAAAACGTATAAAATAGGAAATAATAATGTTTAATAGGTTAACTACTAGTGATCGAAAGTCTGCAGTTCTCTGGAAACCGTTAAGTTCGCGTGTTGAGTTTATTATTTTGAATTTTACCGTATTATAGAATTTCATTAAGGTCTGAAAAAATGCAAATCTTAGAAAGGAATATAAAAAATGCGCACCTATTTCTAAAGAACCGCATGACCTTAGTTTTCAATGCAGGGAAGAAATTTCTTTGCTTTTAAGTACCACAAAAGCAAGGGCCACACAAACTTTTTTCCTGGTTTTTAGATAGAATTCGGGAGAATTTTTCACCATTCAAGATAAGACTGTCTAAAAACACTCAATTTATCTTTATAGATCAGTCCCTTTAATAAATAAGAACCATCTTATAGTTTCTCCCAATCTTACTGTAACATGAAATTGATGTAAAAGCATTTAGCTGCGCTTCGAAACACTTTGTTGATTAAGTACGACTGGACACTTAAAAGTATTCAATAAATTCCAGAATTGGTATTTAAAATTAAAGTTTTACTATAAATAACATATTTGAAACAATTAGCATAATTATTTTAGATATTTTCAATAAATATATAATCAATGTATCGATGGTAGTGAAAATTTGAATTATGAATTAAAATTTCAACTTTTGTTGTTAAGTGCAGTTTTCACGGTTATGAACTTTGTAACTAGAATGTTTAGCCTAGAATCAAAATCAATGTTATTATCAAATATAATTAATTGTTTTTTATTTTCAAATACAAAATAAAATTATAAACAAACGAGTTATAAACAAATTAGTTGTGTTTATTAAGTTTTGCTTAAATTTATTTAGAATTTATTTAGGGGTGCTACTAGACAGCTTACCCCTGTAATATTAATTTACAAGTTCACTATATTCATACCGATTATTTTTTCTGATCAGCTAATGTCAATCAGATGCTGTATTGGACGCCATAAGTTTTCTCCTGAAAATTTTTTTGGCCGAAATGTTTCATCTGTAGACTCCAATTTTATTCATATCATTTTTGTAGAAGGTTAGTGTCCATGAAAATTTTTACAATTTTGATCTACGTTTCAGCAAACAAATTAACATATCTTCCCAGTGCCTCTTTGGAACATATTATGTCCAAACGTCTAACTCATTGGCAAGCATACCCTTGCGAATTTGGTTTGAAAAAAATACCATTTTTGCCGACTTTTTCTGGGGTCTTTACTTTCTCTACCCCTTCTGACAACACTCTGCACATCTCACTTTAAACTTGCTGATGCATTGTGCTCTGCCTATTATTCATCTTAAATGTATGCATGAATTAATGTATTTTACAAACTCTCGTCGTGTGACAAAGTGGAGATAATCAATCTCCAGGAAAAGTCTAAGCACATGAAAATAAAATAGCTAAACAACTAAAAAAAATTATTTCTAGGCTCGACGAAGTAGAGAGAGATACCTGGCAAGCTTAGAAACCCTATCCTCACCTTCCCCTCTACCTGGCGATACTATCCTTGAAATCTCTAATGCAACCGAATCAAAGCATCAAGAAGTACTTATTAAAACTCACTTAGTTGTCCCACCTCCAATCTCCAGATATAGTAAAAACAATAGGGAAAACCCAAAAAGAAAAATAAATTTTAACCCTTTTGATGAATACAGTGATTAGCCTTTTAACTACATTTTCTCAATTCTTTATTGGTTAAATTTTAAATTCTGGTCAAGTAATAGAAAGAATAGAAAAAAGCCCTGTACGCGCGGAATGTCTAAATTTTGATTAATTAATACTCATTAATGATCTTGCTTTTGTTTTACGGCCTTATCAAATTTTGTCAGAATTAACTATTTGTAGAATTTTTGATCTCGCATCGCATGCATTAGGAATGTATTCAACTTCAAGCAATATAATAAGAGATATTATGATGTTTGAAGTTGAACTTGAAAAAAAATCATCGTTAATAAGAAATTCAAATTGTCCTAATACCGTTCTGTCCGAAATAAAACTGGCGCTGCATTGGGAACACTAGGTAGTAATGTAAACAATCACCCTAATTGTAACAAAAAAAAACTATTTAGGATATAGTTCTAATAAATTTTGGTATAGAAAAAGAATGTAAACATAAGTATAAAATAATGGGATTATTTTCAGTACGAACTTAATATATTACTAAATTAAGGAAAATATATATGTTATAGGCGTGGGAACTATATCTGTGCGGGGGGGGGATTGATTATTATGAAAACAGTTGTTCGATAAAGATTTGATGTTTTTTGGCATAAATTGACACCGTGGCGTAGCCAAGACAAAAAAAAAATGAAAAGGGATTAGACAGCGGATATGTCAATTATATTGCTTTGAATGTGTATGTGATGCCTGTTTTCAGAAACTTTTTAGAACCTCGTGGCTTAGTTTTGACATTTGAATAAAAAAGTGAATTCTATTGCATTATGCAGATTCTGGTTAATCGGGACACTTAGTTGTACTGCATGTGTACGATATAAAGTACACGATTTTTTACAACAACATGAAGTATATTAAAATAAAATAAAAATTAATGAAGTACACAGCTGCTGGGTAAACTGCAGTATTTGGACAATCTGAATTTCTGACTTAATTATTCCTGCTTTCTGCAGAAATGTTGTTTAAATGTCACAATTTTTTCCTATTCCGATAGAAGCAACTAAAATATAGTAAAAATCAATTATAATTATTATTCATATTATTTAGTATTATCCAATAATATTACAGTTCAAAAAATAAAAATTAAGTTTAAAAAAAAAATGTTGTTTTCCGAAATGGAGTGCAAAATCTCCGAATACAAAATGAAAATTGTCTAATCTCTATATCTTGGAAACATAATGGTCTAAAGAATTCATAGTTTGAAATATCTATGGCTTACGCCATTGGGTTGCTATGATATGGGGGTTAGAAAATCAGTGGCAGCCTTCAATTCCTTTGTATGTTAAAAAAATGTTTGTTCTTTTCAAAGAAAATTCGAAAGTTTTTAATAGAAATTTCACAAGTTTGATGACAAGTTACGATATTGATTTATCCCTATCTGCCTGACAAATTCTTATTGAAATTTATTTCAAAATGTGCAAAACCGAGATATTACATGATGAGTAAAAAAGGAGGAATAACTGCGTCTGGTGCAAAAATATACCTTTTTTTTGCTAAATTCTCTTGTTCTCTGTTGACATTTCTAATTCGCAAAAAATTTTCTCGTGAATTTGATCCCACTCATGGCTATGATCCATTAGGTCTCGTAGGCTAATACTAGTCTTCCGAGGTATTCGTTATTAAGGGTTTCACTTTAGGTAATTTAAAGAAACGTTCGAGTACTTGTCTTATTTCAATGGCTATTTCTAGATCAAATAAGCTTTGAAACAAATTGATTTAAATTTTATTTTCATTTCAATTGAAAATAAATATTTTGGAAATATCCTTTTTTAAGAGAAAATCCGGGAACCAATCAAAACTTAATAGCACACGTACGCCCTTGTAGAGCTAATTTAACTTTAAAGAACGATGATTACTTTATAGCACGTTCATTATGGATTTGACAATGAAGTGAGCAAGAATGATAAAGTACACTATAGTTTCATAGTGATAATGATTATAAAGGTAATTTATCTCAAACCTTTATCAAATTTCATTTGTTAACAAAAGATTGCCTCATATAGTAGTACAGGCCCAAGAGCAAGATTCTTTATTAACCCCCAATATATTAATCCAGTTTACAAATCTATATCTTATCGTAGAAAGTTGCAGCTAAACATGAAAAAAGGAATACGGAAATGAAGTTCGATGGTTTTACTCTTTCGCTGGTTGATATTTCTTCAATGTCAGAAGATTTAAAAAATTAAAACTATGAACTCTTTAAAAGTTTATAATTATTAGTCATTATCAATAGAAACAGAAAAACCGCATTTTATAAATTCTTTCGGTGTCTCTAAATCTAAGGTTTCTCTTCAGATTGCCACATAGAGTTCTTTGTTCTTCACTATAAACAAGTCTCGGTCTAATTGCAATCATTAAGTCAAGATAACTATGACGAAAAGTTTTTTCTATCGGCTAATCTGGTTCAAGAGTTAAAGTTGTTACCAAAATTACCTAATTCATTTTAGAATTATAACTGGCAATATAGATTTTCGGGAATTAAATAAAATTAATATGCTTTAGAGTAATCCTTCTAATAAACAATTTATTATCTAGCACATTTTCCCTCAATTTTATATGTCTCTTCACAATGTTTGCTTATAACATGATAAATTTTTTTTTTTTAAAACATAAAATGCAATGAAGAAGGAGATGCAGATTTATTTTAAACTATTTTTCATCTGTAAAATGGAGGTTTTTAAAAATATTACACTACATATCAAATAAGATGAAGAAAACTAGAAAGAAATTCTTGGGTGGTTTTCTGAATCTTTTTGGATCAATATAGAAAAAGTAAAACAAATAAGTAATGTTATTTTGAAAACGAAAAGATTCTAGAACATTCCAAATTTTAGATCGCGTTATTGAAATTTAACGCTTCATTATTTTGATTAATTTGACAAACTTTTCATTTTAGTTTGATTTCATTTAACGTAAAATCTGTTTTTTTTGATTCAACTACGCGAATAGAAATTTTTATTTGCAGGATTTTGTAACTTGCTCATTGGATGATTTTAACCCTCATCTGTTAAATAACGTTAACAATAACGAAGTTTCAATTTAGTTTTGTAGAACTGCAAATATAACATTTACAATTAACTAACCATCATATAAAACTACAATAACATATATTGCATCTGCTAGTTTACACTTGCATAGGGCTTACAAAAGTCCTATGAATTTATTTGATAAGCACTGGGTCTAGAAAACATTTCTTCAGTGCTGACTAGTTCATCAATAACAATTATAAATATGGCAAAACCTGTGGGAAAAATAACTCGAGCGGAAAATACTTCCAAAAATAATTAAATATTATCAAAAAATAATTAAATATTATAAAAAATAATTAAATTAGGTCCTGACTGTAAATAGGAAACAATATCACTTTTATGCATCAAAGTTTTTATCTGAAGTTTTTCTGTAACTTTTTAAGTTTTAGAGTTACAATAATTTCCTACTTCTGTGTCAGAGAAAAAGTATGAAGGGTCATCTATCCTAAGTTGTTCAGTTCCAGGTATTGAAAAGGAACATGCATTGCATTTTTATATTTTTCCACCACTAAATGTCCTCGACGTGTTGATGCTCCGATCACCAGAACCTGTTCTCCTTTCAATAAAATTGTATCTCCGGTTTTCTCATCTAAAATAGAAGTTTTATAACGAAATTGTAACCGTTGCATGGCTAACTATAGTTTTCAAATAGTTGATTTAGCACACCTTCCTAGAGTTTAGTAAGGGGTCGCCAAAATTGCAAAATATTAAGCAAAACAAACGTACGATTAAAGGGACTGTTAACGTCACTTCAAGTGACCCTCTTACATTGATAAGAATGCCGTGCACGATTGCAATTGTACTCATAAAGCTTAGTCTGCTCAATTATGAATCAGAAAACCATGTTTTTGATTTTTGAAACTTATTATTTCTTGCCCCAAAAATAGGGGGGAAATTACAAGAGTTTTCACTTTTCTATACCTATTATCAGATGAGGTTTTCGAGGTAACGTTGTGAATTGGGCATGTCACTTTTATAAAATGGGAAATCAATTGGAATTACGTCTACATTCCCTTTAAGCACTAAATTTAAATTTGACCTGGATAGGATTGTCTCATAAATCTAGCTTGTGGATAGGCAATCTTACTGTTCCCTCGGACCGTATAAGATCTACTGGGTGGTACTGGTGGAGGTCTCTCCTGAAATTTTTAAATTTTTTTTTGAGATCTAGATATTTATTATCTCCGTATCGAGATTATATTAATTGTACAAAATTGTTCATATGCATTTAATACAACTATTTTACGATGCTATTGTGTACATATATTTTTAAATTAAATAATAAAAAATCATACGGATACAGTTTTTTCCTTTCATTAGAAATTTGGATCTAGGGATACTTGGATCCTGCAAAACATACAAATTGAAGAGTGCAAAAATTGAAAGTGCATAGAATAAATTGCATATAATTAGTCGGTGACGAGGATTTTTTAAGAATCGTCTGCATATAATTTGAGCATTTAATGTGGAAGATCAGATTGAGCAAGCATTCTAAAGTTTTTATGAAACAATGGTGTACTGGCAATGTATGCAATACGGCAGGAACTACGATTGTTAAATGTGAAAAAGCTTGTTGGAGAAGTAGTTAGTTTTAAATGGAACAAAAACACATAATGCTTAAAAAACTAGACTCACGTAGAACATTGGTTCTGCGCTACTGTCTAGGATATTGAATAGAGATTAGTGCTTAACCTCTTCATTTCTCGCAAATCATCAGGTTATAGCAGGGTATGGTGCACGTTTATATAATATGGTGCACGTTTATATAAAATGGTGCACGTTTATATACTTTAAAATTTATATATTTTAAAATTAATACTTTCTCTTTCATCAATTTTAAAGATTTTAGATTTTAAATGTACTTATATGAACTTTTTGAACAAAAAATAATGCCCGTCTTTAAATGCCGATTCCTGACAAAAAGCTAAAATTCACATCGTATTTATAGAAAAAATAATAGACTCCAAAAAGTATCTCTTTGCCAAAAGTTAATCAAAAGGAATTGAGTCTTTGTCACAAACTCAAATTTTCTAATCCCTATATCTATGGAACTTGATGTTGTAGACTTTTGATATTTCAAACTAAGATAATTTGATGCAACAGAATTCATAGATTGAAATATCTAAGGTCTACGACAATGGGTTGCAGAGATATAGGAATTAGAAAACCAGAGTTTGTGTCAAAGACTCAATTCCTTTACAGTTTTAATTTCCAGGAGTAATATTTAAACAAAATTGACTTGATAAGAATCAACTTAAATTTCGAAAATTGCCAATGAAAATAATTTAAGGTGAAAATTTTTTGATATTGTCATAACATAAAACCTAGACCATATAGGAGAAAATTTTTATTTTCTTGCATTTCTTACAAATATTTTCTACTAGGTTGTTTGCAGCAATACAATCAAACTTTAAATTTAAAGGATTTTTTTACAGAAACTACCCTTAGAGGGCACTTCGCGCCCATCTTCTAAATTAATTGTGAACATGTTCTCTTTGTGTACATCGTAAAACAAAACAAAAATAATTCGCGGATTTTCAAAATTTTCAAAAATTTAATGAAGATCGAATTTTGATGGAGACAAATATTTGAAATAAACCTTCCCTGGGGTCCCTAGATGTCCCACAAAAAATTTGGGCCCGATCGGTTCAGCCGTTTTGACGTTTATTGGATACAAACAGAAAGACAAACAAACAGACAGACAAGTTAAATTTATATATAGATGGCCAAGTTTAAAATAGGTTAGCAATGAATAAAACACTTACCAAGTCTAATCCAAAGAGTGAGCAGGTTTTTTGGATTGTCTTGAAATCACATCTATCTCCGGAATTTAAAATGTTAGGTGAACCTCTATCACCAAGAGGATGCTTGCTATTAACAAGAAAAAGTCCATTTAGAGAGGCATCCGGAGGAGGAGTTCCCGTTATGGGCTGAGGACGGGGACGTGATGTCTTAGAAGATTTTTGAGCTATCAGATGTGATTGAAGGGTGGATCTCATAGACGGCCATTTCTTTCTAAGAGAGTACCCTCGCCAAATCGCTTGAATTTGACGCGCACTTTGAGCACGCTTCCCTGTCCGTAGTTTTTCCAGATGCTGACGTGCACCCTCGGAAAGAAAAATGTGCTTTTTCCCAAGAGCCCAGTCTTTGGAGATAGCACCGAGCTCGGAAGACTTTAAAGATACTTTCAGGTGATCTAAAATCCTCTGACAATCCTCTAAAGCTTGATCATCACTTCTCGAGAGGGTTCGAATAGGAGCAAGGGTTCTATACCGTGAATTAAAGTTTTTGAATCGCATTCTGTGTGGAAATCCGCCCGCCATCAGATTCACGGTTTCAAGAATCTGTAAACTCCGGACCTGCTCCACCACAAACCCACGCTTAAACTCAGAACTGGACTCTGTTTCGTTGGGTCGGATACACCGAACAAAATGAGGTTTCGCATGAACCAGGGTTCGAAGAAGATTATCCAACCTAGTGTGGAAATCCTGGGTCAGAGTTGAAACAGGTTCATCTCCGTTCAGGAGCTCTGAGTATGATGTAGGAGATATCCTAAAGGTGATTCCTCGGGGTACTATTTCTTCTGAGTAGAGAGCTTTTATCTCCGTCCCAAAAAGATGCGTAACAAAGCCGAAAGCGCAAGATTGCTTGTGAAAAATTGAAACGAGATCGTCAGGAATTACATCACGATTGGTATCTAAATTAAAAAGTTGTTAAATTGTTTGATTGTAATCTCAAATGCTACAAATAATAAAAATAGGTTAAAGACATTCGGGCCATATGTAACTTTACATTTTTCGTTTTAATCATTAACATTAACTTTTAACTTAAATATTTCGTTTGTTTACAGCATATTGCACTATGTCAATATTGCCAATTGTTACCTAAAAAGTCTGCAGCATCATACACTACTTTCCCAGTGTAATGTTGAATACCAAAAGTTCTTGTCACATCACATAGAGGTGGCTCAAACAATCTAAGAATTCGTAATTATCATCGCTATTTATTAATTATATTATATCAATAAGAATATTTTAAAGTTGTAACATCAGCAAATACAATTCGACAAGAATTAAACGTTTTTAATACCTAGTGTTGTCCTTATGTTGTACTTTAAGCTTCTGTACATAAGTTTCAGGACACCCTCGAACAGAACATTCAACATCTAACATTCGGAGCAAACCGGTTCTCTAAAGAAGAGTTAGTAGCAAAGGGATCAAATTATATGATAAAATAACATCTTAGATATTTTCAAACATTTGAATATTGAATTTTTTTCAACTATTCTTCTTTTTATTGTGCTTACCAGGCTAGATATGAGATCAATACAATGTGCATTATCATTATAGTCCACCACTACGTCACAGCTTATACCTTCGTCTTTACAGGTCTCTGAAATTATTGCCAATATATCTAAGTTGCATCAAATATCAAAATAATAAATATCAATGATCATAAACATCATTATCAAAGTTTTTTATCTAAAAAATTTATCATTGCTTAAAACAATTTAAAAACATAACATGTAATGCTTAATTATATTTAAGTTACCTATAGATGTTTTTAATGTATGTGTATTAAAGAAATGTTGCATTGTTTCAGAGCATAGGTTTATACACAGCTGCTCCAATTGGCTTGGTTTACTATCCTCAAAACCGAACATATCTAGATTTGAAAATTTTGTTTGATTAAAAGTATTAAAAAAATCTCTTAATAAAGGAAGACTTTGCAAAATTCAATTAACTCATGATCAAAGCTTTTTAATCTGCACTAAACATTTCTAGATTTTGACAATTTTTTCACTAAATCATTAAAACTAAAGCTTTTTTACAAATACAGGCATGGCTTCACAAAATTAATGAACACATCCTTTTTAAAATCGGAACTTTTTTTCATAAGGCATTATTACATGGAAATAATAATATAATAATAATTGTTTACCTAAAACACCTATAAAACCGTCTGTTGCATGTCTGAGTGCATTGTTGAGGATTGCAAGACTTTTGCTAGATTTTTTAGAACCTGCTGTACCAACCGTACTGGCATGTAATGATGCCACTTCATGATGTACTGATTCATTAGAACTCATAGAACCTACAAAAATTGAGTTGAAAAAAAATTAATTTTGTGCCTTTCTTCCTATGGAAAAAAAAAATCACAAAAGACAGAATTATAATTAAACCAAAAACACTGAGAAACTTTTTTCGATTTTTTTACTTTACACTGTAAAACAATATCTACTCTCCTGGCATGAATTTTAGTTTTTTCTTTTGGACTTACGTTAATCCGAAGAAAAATTCAGATCCGCTGTTTTTAACTTTGAGTAAGTGTGAGAATGAAAATAAAGTAATGTATAATTTATATGTTTTAATGTTTAAGAAAAACAATTCAAAACGACATTTTAAGTAATTTTTCAGTAAAATTACGTTTAAGAAAGATATGATCCATAAGTATATTTTTAGACATAATTTCGAAACAGAAAATTACAGGAAGTTGCATTAATATATATAATATATAGAAGGATTATTAGATAACACTTGGCTCTTCGTTTTTTCTTTCTATTTTATCAACGCTTACTGTCAAGGTTTAGGTATAGTTTTGGGATAGACAACGTTCTAAAAAAGCAAATAATCAAAATATTAGACTTTAAAACAAAAACGAAAAGACTAACCCATAGTGTTGATGCAAAAACGATCGAATTTGATTAAATTAAGGAAAACCGGAATTCCGTCTCAGATATTTATTCTGTGAATTTTGCCTTATCAATAACCATTGCACATACTATAGAAATGACCCTCTGATGTTAAAAATACAAAACCTTTTGGAAATTAAAGGGAGTGACCGGCAATGTATGGTAGTTGAAGGGAGAATCTAGTATTGTGGATAATTTTTTCAGGATTTATTTGAGACATATAAAACTTTTTAATGATGTATAATTAATGAGTTTGAGCGTAAAGTCGACTTTCAAAACATTTAAAGAACCGATTTTAAAAAAAATTATTAAATAACGATGACGAAAAATGTACAGAAAATATAATTTCATGAGTCATCTCCCAAAATAAGTGAACAAATATCATAAAAGTATTAAATTAATAAAGTATAATAATATTAATTTAAAAATAACTGCTGCCAAGTAGAAAAGAAAATAACGAGTACATTTTATTAATATAGTATTATTGTATATTGTATATAGGTTATAATTATGATTTACCTGAACCCATTGGTTTCTTCAGACTATTCGCTCGTTTGACTATTGTTGCGACTGTTCGACAGTACAAAGCTTTTGCTAACGCGTCCCGGGTTGCATTTGACTAAACAAAAATTTACTCTAAATTATTCTTAACATGTGCTTATTTAGTTTCATATGTGCACATTTAGTTTCATATGTGCACATTTAGTTTCATATGTGCTCATTTAGTTTCATATGTGCTCATTTAGTTTCATATGTGTGCTCATTTAGTTTCATATGTGCTCATTTAGTTTCATATGCGATCATTTAGTTTCATTTGTGTTCATATAATTTCATATGGGCTCAAAGTTTGACGTTATCCCAACATTGGAAAGCTTGTGTCAGACGTGAAGGTGGTGCAGTATGAGGAGAGCTTAACTCGAGTCATTTCCACGGAATGATGGTTGATCATTTTATTTATTTAATAAAAACTCGCGCATAGCTGAAGGGTCGATTCGATAAGGGATCTGCCCGTCAGCATAAATCATATGATTACCTTAATCAATTCTATAAAGAAACATGGAAATTTAGAGACGACATAAACATTTTGATTTTAAATTAGTGATTAATGAATACTCTGAGTCTTTATAGGGTCACGCGTCTTGTGAGTTTCTTTGATTAGAAGGACTAACGACAGGGGCGGATACAGGGGGTAATTCTCTGTAGATATTTCATAAATCAGCAGACTAAGAGGTTCCGTTGTTTAATGTTTTAATTAGAATAATGCTACTTTTGTGTTCTCGAAAAAACGCGGCGTGGATCAAAGACGATACAGCAGTCGTTAATTAATTCCCATGTTTTATGGGACACCCTATACACGTAGTACCCTTGTAGCAGCAGCTGCAGCATAAACATTGAACATATACTGTGGTCTGTGCATTGAATATGAAAAATGAAGGTTTAAACGATTTGATTGTTAGAAGACAACTCAATTTAACTGCTCAGTCAGGGTTAAAGGGGTAAAGATACATACTCAGTATAACATAACACACTCTAATATAGTGATCCATTTTCGTCTTTCTTTTTTGATGTCACACGGGTAATATTATAGATTGCGTCTTTCGACTAACGTTGATTTAGTGTGTGATGTATACTCATACTCTTCATGGATCTACACAAAAAGTAAAGATTGTTAATTTTAAGTAGTTAAGTCTATATTTGACAGAAGTAAAATTGTTATGCCTAATAAAAAAATTATTGACACCTATTAAAGCAGTAGAACAGTCTCATTTGCAGCATCCCATGAAGTACAAATAAAAAAGTATCTGGTAAAGAGTTTACAGCACTTTGCACAGCCTATAAGGCTATAACATAGTCATGCACAGATCTTTGTAGTCGTTAGTAGACCTAAAGACTTCTTATTTAAGACCCCCATAGTCCTAATACCTTTATTTTCTATCTCTATTATGTCAGTTTAAGTAATCCCCGCCCCCCTCACTGTGTATCACTACTTTCTTTCCTTACCCATATATTACTTTTGTCAAATATTAAGCGTTGATCTGGTATAACACTTGATACCTTGAATATATTTCTACAGTACATAAATATACTCCTTAATCATCTCTTATCCATATCTTACCATATTTGCATCAGATGAAGATTTGACCAGCTGACCCCTCACATTATGAGTTTTAGTCGTTAATCCTTGGATTAAGAGCTGAGGAGATATACCAAGAAGACCAGACACGGATTCAAGCTCAGATGTGCCTATTATCTCGACCTAAATATATAGATCACTTTAATATTCAAAAAAAAATAACTAAATATGGATACTATTATGATTTCTTTATATAAAGTCTGTTTCTATTTTGTATTAACATTTTTAAAAGGAAAACTCAAAGCACGAGTTTATTGAAAAACTGGCTTTGAAGCATAAACTTGATTAATTTAAAGGGACTGTAAAGAAAAAAAATGAAAGGGGGTGTAGGATGTAACCTGAGAATCTCAGGCGTTGAACGATACTTAAAAGACATCTATCTGATGTTTCTGTCTCGAGAAATTGATATAAAATTGTGTCAAATTAATAAGAAAATAATATATAAGCAATTTTGTAGAAAAGTTGTAGTATAAAACAGATCATATTCCACAAATACGAAACCAATCTGAAAACGACGATATTCCATATCACAGATACATGAGAATCTCAGGTTTGCTCCTGTTATAATCACTTAATTTTTATTTTGCATTTTCAATAGATATAATCGATATTTTTACATATAGTATTAGGTATTACGTTACCACAACTACAGAAAATGGCAGTGCAGTTTGATGGTCATGTGATTTCCGTCGGAATCACGTGACCAGTATACTGCACTCTCATTGGCGGAAGTTCTTGTGACGTAATACGGACTTTTAAATAATGTTATCTTTTATCTATTTATAAAAATGCAAAATAAAAATTAAAAAATTATAATGGAAGCAAACCTAAGATTCTCAGGTTTCTGTTGGATATAATCGTTTTCAGATTGTTTGCGTATTTGCTGAATATGATCTGTTTAAACCTACTACTTTTATACAAAATTTTATATATATGGATTTTCGTATAATTTTGACACAGTTTTTTTTATCAATTTCTCGAGACAGGAACATCAGATGAATGTCTTATATGTATCGTTCAACGCCTGAGATTCTCAGGTTTTATCCTATACCCCCTTTCGTTTTTCCTTTACAGTCCCTTTAGTCAGTTTGTAACTAATAAACATAAAACTATATGAACCCCTTGGGCCAACATTGCCAAAAAGTTTTTGTAAATCTACGAACAGAGCAGAAAAATCCGCCACGAGTTAATTATGAAAACAGCAACAAAAAGTCTAATAATATTACTAAAAATTGTATTAAGAGGTGCACTAGGCCAAAGTGAATGATTAATACAGTGGTCCAAGCTAATATTTGGAATTGGATAGCCCTTAAAATCTGCGTGTACAGTAGTAATATAAGTTAACTGGACTCCATTTGTTTACAAACGTTAGCAAGCAGGAGTCATGGTGCACTTGCGTGATATTCAAATAAATGAAGTATATAAATGTTAAAAACAAAAGTACGAAGACTTGGACAACACAGTCACAGATATGTTAATTGTTGTTTCTTTTTGTAGTGCATATTCTGTTAAGACATATCCGTGTTTTTTTAGTAGTGAGAAAATTAAACCATGTTACGTCTTGTGATTTTGTCCGTGTTAAGTCATTTCATGTACAGACATTTCATAGATAAAAAATCATAGATTGGACAATTCATAGACAGGACATTTCATAGATAGGATATTTCATAGAAAAATAAATCCATAGATAGGACATTTCATAGATAGGATATTTCATAGAAAAATAAATCCATAGATAGGACATTTCATAGATAGGACTTTCCATAGACAGGAAATTTCATAGATAGGACATTTTACAGAAAAAGAAATTCATAGATAGGACATTTTATAGATAAGATTTTCCATATACAGGACATTTCATGGACAGAGTAGATTTTTCATAGACAGAGAAGAACTTTCATAGATAGGTAATTTCAATTATACCAAACTAATTTTTTTTTCAGAGACAACTTAAGTTTTGGGGTAGGTGAAAAATGTGTCACAATTTTAGAGAATGTGACTAAAAAGAAATCAACACTAATATGTTATCAGTTTAAAGCAAAATTATGAATAATATGTGAAGTAAACATCAGAGAGATCGTAGAAATAAAAGGGTATGATTGTTTAGATAAGATCACTTGGAAGAAAATCTATGAAAAATATTCTCTGTCTGTGAAATGTCCTATCAATGAAAGGTCCCATCTATGAATTGTCATGCCTATGAATGGCCATGTCTATGAATGGCCATGTCTATGAATTGTCATGTCTATGAATTGTCATGTCTATGAATTGTCATGTCTATGAATTGTCATGTCTATGAAATGTCCTTTCTATGAAATATATTTCTATGAAATGACCAAACACCGAATTCCAGAAGCCAAATTAATCGTTAAAGAGAGTTAAAAGATGTCAAACTATACATGAGTAACATGATGAAACCTGTAGCTAAGAACGAAACTTGCATATCGTCAATGCATATAATATCAAATTTAATGAGGGTTTTTTTGAGGTGCGGTAAATTGCAAGTTTTTATAACAAGAAAACAATAAGATTCGTAGACCATTTAAAGCCCTTACTTCTTGATTAGGGCCCTGGCCAACGAGACCATAACTTTGAAAGTTTACCAAACCAAATAAGGGCTTATGGCCCAACCAGTCGTCTTTACTTAGTTTCTTTCCCTTTAGTATTTATTGAATTTGGCACTAAGTCCTTTGTAAGCATAATATTGAACATATTAAATTTTACCTCTAACCCTTCTCCTTCGACAAACTCTATATTGCCCAGTAGAAGTATAGTAGCAAGGACCCTCAGCACATCCATGTAAGGTATACCAAGGATACCTAGAGTTCCCTTCCAGACCTCAAACCTTGCTGCATCCTCAACTTCATCCGTCCTTGTATCTCCACAGTTTAGGTATCTTAAATATATTGGTTTTAAAAGTAACTTTTAGGTCTCTCTGATGAGTTGCCAACCACTCTATTTTTTGCTGCCCCGTCCTGTATTTAGAAAAGAATATTTTGAAGTGCCGTCTTTTTTTTCGAATTGGGTATTTTTACTATTATACAAAAAAAATTTTGTTAAAAAATCAATGTTGCAATAATCTGTACCGAAGATAATTTAGTTTAAATGGAGTTTAAAGGGGGAGGGAAGGAGCGATAGAATGACAATTTAAAAAAATTAAAAATTAAAATACTAAATATTCATAAAGTCCTTTAGTTGGTTATCAAATCAAATCAAATCTATACTATATCTATGCCAAAATATTTTTAGATAAAATATATTTTTCTAAACTGGTGGTGGTTTAAAACTGTTTTATTTCTAGAAATATACATACTTTAAATTGTAAAAGAGGCTTATAAATATCGCAAAATCTGATTCTCTACAATCGTTTGATTTTATCATATTATACAGTTGTTTTTATCTTCTCACAGTCAAAACTTGTAGAGAATAATATTTTGCATATTTATATCATAGATATTTAGTACCCTAAAAACCGAAAAAAAAAACTACCTGAGATCTCTAATTGTATATCCGGCTAAACCGAGCTGACGTCTCTCTGGCCCCGTTAACCCAGCCATAAGTTGATAGAAAATATGATAATTCTTCTCCATAGGTTGAGGACGAATAACCCTACTCTGGTCCAAAAAGTAACAGTGAATCTTCGTTCTATACAGCGCACCTTCACTCACTTGAACTTCGATAAAGTAACCCTAAATGAACAAAAATAGCAGGTTTATATCACATGGGAAAAATGGAAACGGATTTTTTCGAACAAATTCAAAAACAATTAAATCATATGACCAATATAAAAAATTTCACTACTCACAAGCTAGAGAAATTATAATGATGAATTATCTTTGAAAAGCTTACAATTCGACTGGATTCTCTATTAGCAGCTGTTTTAGCACTCCCCAAACTTCGTAGCACTGTGAATGCTGCGGCTAAATGCTTAAAGGCATCGGTTTCTGGACCTCCGCCAGCTAAATCAAATAGCTGGCGCAAAAGAACCATGCTGGCATACGTCTTGCCAGACCCACATGCTCCTGACAGTATGATAGCTTGCGGATAGCCTGTGTCTCCCTACAAATACAACTATATATAATAGCAAGAAATAGAAATTGAAAAAAATAAGTTTAACAAATTCTTGATCCAAAAAATCCCGCTCTAATTTACGCTTTTGTCTGTTTAAGTTCTAAATTTTAAGGTTAGATTTTTTTCACCGATCTTGCCCTGTGTGAGATTCTCAAGGAGTATGAAATAGAAGGGAGATACAAATGACGCGGCTCGCCCTACATTACAGACATTACTTCATTTTTATAAGAAATATTCATAACGCGGTAATTGTACATCAGACAAATAATTTGTATACAGATGGAGTACCGTCTGCAAAGCATGTATAATCATATGGTAGGGAGGGCCGCGTCAGTGGTATCTCCCTTCTATTTCATACTCCTTGGAGATTCTTTATCAACAAAGCTTAACATTTTTGTCTAGAAATCTTTATATTCCATCTCTTATTAACATGCATGTCTCTTGCAGAAAAAAAACCTTTGTAAATCTTCTCAGACAAATGATGAAACATAGTTTTGGACACATTGATTAGGTCATTATATACATTATATAGAAACAATATGCTGAATAACGCAAAATAAAGACATTTTGGGGTGCGAAAAAATTGGTCTACAGTATATGTCTCTATAAAACATAATCCATAATCAATTATCATAATCCAAAACAACTCAGCTCCATGGTTTTCTATTCTCCTTTGTTCACAACTAGGAGAGTCAAGTTTGTTAAGCGCTGGTAGTTCACATCTTTCGCAAACAATTGGTCTCAGAAAAGTTTGACAGTGTAATTGTGAGTTGAAGCAAAAATTTTCTTCCTGCATATCTATACCTGAATTCTTATGGCTTCTTCTGCTACCCTCCTAAGTTGAGAGGTCCTTGCGGCTTCCAAGGTTGAATTTAGGGTTATTGGGTTCTTAAGGTCTGTGTAAGGATTCACATGTACCAAGATGGGACCAATGTTAGTCTAAATTAATGATGTCATCAAAATTAATTATTTTATCCATGCAGTTTCCAAAATCTGTTTTAATAGGGAGTCGTTAAAACCTGTTAAAAAGCACAATAATGTGCCTAAAAATAGTTTTAAATTTTAGAAGGGAAGGGATCGTTTCAGCAATTTGTTGTTGTTAAATTCAATGCTTTAATTCAATTCGGCAACTACATCGAATAGTAAAAAACCTCTCTGAAAACCAGTATTTAATAAAAATCATGCTAAGAAAATATTTTAGTGTATACTCCAAAAACGCCAGAGATCTGGAGAGAAACCGAAAACAGAAGATTTCAGCAACCCCCTCACAAATAAGTTCCTGGTTGGAACTTGGAAAAAGTAAATTTTTGCATGAGAGCAATTGAATTGATCAAGTCTTAGCCACAAACTAAAATTTGCAAATTTAAATATCTTTGAAACCTGATGGCGTATTATTTTAAACTTAGATTATTTGATCTAACAGAATTCATAGTTTATAATATCTAATAGTGTTTACACAGATATAAGGATTAAAAAAAATCGGAGTTTGTAGCAAACACTTATTTCCTTTCAGAAATAATTCAAAACATAAACTTAATTGTATTAAAATCATGTATTTTCATTATTTTTTATTTTCCCTGCAATTTATAGCAATTTATATTATACTAGGCTTTTAGGGCGCTTCACGCCATCTTTTATTTAAATTGTGAACGTGTTCTTTTTGTTTACATTTAAAACAAAGAAGAAAATTTTTTTGCGGATTTAAAAAAAAAAAATTCGCGGATTTTCAAGAATTTAAATTTTTTTTACAAAATTAAGAACCTTTAAAACACATTTTTAAAAAAAATTTTATCATTCATAAACCTCCCCTGTGGACACGTGATGTCCCACAAAAATTTGGGCCCGGTCGGTTCAGCCGTTTTGACGTTTATTGGATACAAACAAACAGACAGACAAGCCAAATTTATATATAGATGTTAAGAATTATTAATTGTTCACATTTTTTTCAGATATTTTATATATTCGACACTGCATAATTCTACGCCAAAAAAAATAATTAAAAAATTCTTCCGAAATTAAAACAAGAAGAACCACAACTCGAGTCTTTTTAAGGTTTAAAGAAAACATATTTCTCCTTTTTGTCTCTCTTTATATAAATATAATTCTAAAAACGAGCTAACACGAATACAGATCGACATGAAAAGGTGGGTTCTTAGCTAAATCCAAAAAAAATATCAAAATTGTATTGAGAGTTTTGTAGAGGAGTAAAAGTGGCATCGGCTAACTTTTTAAGAGAGTTTACATTTGAAAAATTTTTCTTTCATAACTGCAACGTGAAAAATGATAGCAAAATTTAAAATTTATTAAATATGGTTTATGAATTGTTAACTATCGCTTTGCGTTAACATAAATAATTTGATACGCAAATACCTGCATAAAAAGATAGCTAACAGCGATCTTTATTACCTGATATTTTCTATTATAAAATCTTTATTACCTGATATTTTCTATTATAAAATCTTTATTACCTGGTATTTTCTATTATAAAATCTTTATTACCTGGTATTTTCTATTATAAAATCTTTATTACCTGGTATTTTCTATTATAAAATCTTTATTACCTTATATTTTCTATTATAAAATCTTTATCACCTGGTATTTTCTATTATAAAATATTTATTACCTGGTATTTTCTATTATAAAATCGTGATTGAAGGGTTTTCAGAACAGCGTCCTCGGTTAAAGGTCCTTCAAGTCTTATCAAATCATCAACATCAGCCAGTCGACTCTTTTTCATCTAAGTTAATCAACATTTTCAGAACTGACAAAAACTAAGAACAAATTTTTTTAATGTGATTTTACAATTTTACAGTAAAAACGCCAATCTCTATAAACCGATATGTTTTTGTAATATATAAGATAAATTTTCGAACAATCAGAAAAAGCGAAATGGATGTTCAGTGTTCACTGTTCACTGTTTATTAAATATGCAACGTCTAACTGATAAATATATAAAAATCGGCATTTTTATCTGAGAAAATCGAAGAACATGTTAAGGAGGGAAAATAAAACAAAAAAAGCGAGGCATGTTTGATAATGTTTTGAGACCATTAAGAAACTGTTTTCGAATTTCGACCAAAAGAGAATAAACAAATACAGATCTTAAAAAAAGTCTGTGACTTAATCTGCTCGCGTAAAACGTTGGCCATTGATATTGCTTAGTAATAAAAACTAATTATTTATAATTGAGAAGTTGACAAGATTTTTGAAAAATTACCTCGTCTATCATAAATTTTTCTCTTCTTCTTTGTCTCTCAGACGGTGGAGTCCGAGGAGCGGAGGCAATTGTTCGAATAGTTCCCTCCGAGGGAGGTAAGGAGGATGGCACTGGCGGAGGAAATGAGGATAAGCTTGGAATACTCACCTAGAAATAAAAAATTGATACATGAATAGATAGAAGTATCATATCTACTGAATGAGATGTATAATATGAACTTCATTCAAATAGAAACATCTATTCTATATCTAGGAATCTGCAGGGGGTAGAGTAGTATGCCTGCCAAAATCAGACTTTTATATCTTTTCATCAAAAGTATGCCCAAGGATTGTGTGTGTGTGAGTCTGAGAGAAAAAAGGGGGGGCTTAAAAGTATTTCTTAATTTAAAACAAAAATGTTATCCGAAAATTTAATTTTTGCTTTGTTTAGGGTCACAAATTAATATTTATAAAAATTATTAGCACTCATCTCTGAATCTGAATCTATTTTCATTTATCTTGTTTTTAATTTAAACTTACAGCTGATACTATGGATGAAGGTGCCGAGATCCCTGTTTGAATATTAGAATAGTTGTGCTGCAAGCTACCAGTCATGTTTGTGCCACCGCTTTGCAGGGTGGAGAAATCTAGAAAAAATGTTAAGTTTATATAAAAATAAGTTTTAGCTAAATTGATATATTTTTTATCAAATAATTTTAAACTTTAAGAATGTGAAACTTAAATTCATTATGGTCTGACTTACGAGTATGAATTAAAAATACCAAAAATTATTCAATAAAAACTGATTTCAAAAGTTTCCCGCACATTTTTTTAATAATCCCCCACCCACATGTTTCAAAGATAGGTTAAACTTTTTTTTTATAAAATCTGCGTCAAAACAAGCTTATATATCACAGACCCAAGAAATACCTTTAAAAAAGGGAGTTAGGTTGAACATTAAAAAACTGTTTTTTTTTCAAATTAAACTTAAGCAATCAATTATTATAATAGTTAACAGTCCCTTACTCTTTTAAAAGGATTAATCAATTAAGGACAGAAATACTGTACATTTGAATCAATAAATTCCCATTATGAATCTTCATTTGTATTCAAGAAGTATTGGATGGCTGCATCCCTGCTGTAAGTCTACAGACGACTGAAACTAGGATCTGGGCGGATCTAAGTTTCAACACGCTCTGAGAGCGTTATTGGTAAATTATAGGTATGCCAGGTAGGAAGAGGGATAAGAAATACATACTATGAACATCTTTTAAATACGATGCAAAAAGTTTTTAAATGTTTCAAATATTAAAGTCAGTTAGAAATTCGTTTAAAGATAAACACACATCCGGATAGAAACAGGTCAAAGCAAGGAACAAAACATGGTTTGCTCAAGCCAAAATCTAAAATTACATCAGCCATTCTTCTACGCTCTTTGCCAAACCGTTAAATTTTCCAGTTGCCGTCACAATAAAAAAATATCTGGGTAGACCCACAGGTTGAAAGAAACGTAGGGGATCCGAAAATCAGAATTTCAGGTTTCTAGACAAGGGAGATACATAAGTTAACCCTTTTAGATTCTAACGTTTTATGGACATAATTCAAAAATTATTTCATGGCTATGCTGGACTTTTATTGATGACGGAAAGTTTTTTTTACCTACGCCAGACTAGATTTATACTTAGACCCACTTAACGTCAATGAATTTGGATTTCAAAATTTTACAGCTCTTTGGAAAGTCTATGACGCACTCCTGTATGCAGAGTTCATTAGCGCCTGATCCAATCAGGGTTCAGTCATGTGTTTGTTGTCTATTCTGAACCAATAGAAATAGTATGGCGGTAACATATCTATCTTTCTATTTATCTCATTATCCAATTATAGTTATGAATCCTTCAATCTGCGCTATCAGTAAATGGAAATATTGACTTCTACTGAAACTATGGTGGAAATAGATTGCACTACAATTTTAGTAAATAGATCTTGCACAACTTTTAGCAAAGACGCCTTTCAAGTAAATGAATTTGCACATTTTTTCTCAATAACTGGATTCGTAAAAAATGTACTTTTTCCAAATTTGAAGTTTTTGGCAGAAATTTAAAGGAGAGCTTTGAAGGCGAAGGTCCGGTTGGTGTGATAATTTTGGTTTGCGTAACATAAATCAAAAAGTATGTACTCAAACAGTGAAAAAAAACTTACCACGGAATGAGTTGTGTAAGGAATTTTGAAGTCCAGCGTTAACACCCCCAGCAAAATATTTTGTACTTCTTGGTAAACTTTGCTGAAAAAAAAAGATTATACGTTTCAGGAAAACCTTAAAACATATAAACATAAATATTGTTAATCCTTTTTATAACCAAAATCTGGACTTTACAACCACTTACCTGGTCGTAAAATTGGAGAGGAGGTGGAGGATTGTCAGCAGTAGTATCTAGGTATCCTCTCCCTGGAGAAGGAAGGGGTGGTTCTTCTAAAGACAGTTTGGCTTGTTCGCCTTCTCCTGGTACATGTAATCTACTCCTGCAATACAGATTTAGAACTAGGAATAATTTAGATTTACAAGTTTGCATTTTGTACTTTAATTGTTAACAAACGCTTGTGGAGTAGGGGTTTTTTAAAATTTAATGATGATCGAATTTTGTTGGAAGCTAATTTTTGGGACTTTGGGTTATCCAAAAACCTTCCCCGTGGCCATGTGAGGTCCCACACAAAATTTGGGCCCGATCGGTTCAGCCGTTTAGACGTTTATGAAATACAAACAAATACCAAAACTTACAAGCAAAGTAAATATGAAGAAGATAAAACAAAAAATACAACTTTATGCTGAAACTTACAATTCTCTTTTTTGTATTTAGGGGATTAGGAAAATGTAATATTAAGTCACATTAAACATTCCATTTAAATATAATAATCACAGATGCATTCCTATTTTCAGCCTTTGACATCAAAACCAATTAAAAAATAAAACTTTTTTTGCGGATTCTTAAATGGAATAAACATTCTATTTTAAAATGCATGGCATGCTAGACAATTTCTCTTTTCTTACACAAAGCAAAATCGTTTTGGTCAATATCTTAAATTAGAGTAAAAATTTTATTGTTTGCAATAAAAGCAAACTTGTCCAGAATGTAACTTTGACATATTCTTGTTAAGCCTTTAAAAAGCCAAAAAACCTTGAAAATAAAAACGGGCCTGAAACGATGCCCTTCAGTATCTTGAAACCTTCTTGACGCAAAATAATACCAAACATTGAGATACTAAGAAACAATCGTAAAGAAAAAATTTGTTCGTATGTTTGCAGGCCAATGTTTTAGCGTCAAAAAGACTATTTTTAGGGTCATACGGCATCATTTTTGACAAAATCAATGAATATCTTTTGACCATTTCCATTCTTACCATTTTTGTTTACTGCGAGATTAAAAACTAATTACAAATCAAATAATTTGTGAAACCTAGTAAAGTTTCTTAATATGTAGTTTTTTATTTAAGTAATAGCTTGGGAACCCAGCGCTGCCCAGATTACTAAACGTTAGTTAAATTAGAATCTCAAAATCAAGCTAAGTCGAGTTCCATAATCAAAATTTGAGGCAAATCGGTCCAGGAGTTTCTGAGTTATGATCGGATAAACAAACAGAGAGACAAATAAACTGAGATTACAACTTTATATATACATAGAAGTTGAATTAAAGCAGGGAGTAAGGAACAGAAGGGAGATATAACTGACGCGGTTCGCCCTACCATATGATTATACATGCTTTGCAGACCGGTACTCCATTTGTATATGAAATATTCAGAATAGGTTATACGCCGTAAATGTACATCAGAAAAATATTTCATATACAAATGAAGTACCCGTCTGCAAAGCATGTGTAATCATATGGTAGGGCGAACCGTGTCAGTTATATCTCCCTTCTATTCCTTACTCCCTGAATTAAAGCAATCAATACTGACATTTTTAATCCCATAGTGCAAGGGAAATTCCAGTAAAAACACTTGCCTTAGAGTAACCAATTCCGAAGAAAGGGATTTTAACTTGGTTTGAAGATTCACAGCCTCACCACTGGAAGTTGCATCTAAATAATCTTTTTTCATCAAACTTTTAATAAATTTTTCAACTTTGAAATATATAAAATGATATTTTATGATATTTAAATAGAAAACATAAGCATATGTATTTACCTTGTAACCGTTTTTCTGTATCCCAAAATTTCTGCAGTTCATTAAAATATTTATCCAAAATAAACACTTTATTTGTCCCCATTGCTGAGCTCATTATTAATATTAACCTCGTCCACTGCTGGTGGACAACAGATATATGATTTTCATTTTATTAAATGAACAGTTATCTTCACGAATTCATGATTAACTGGAGGACATTCAAGCTTCCAAAGCAGCACTTTACACCAAAATAAACTTGCTAAATTTGACTTTTTATAATAATAATTATAAAATCGACATAGTCTAGAATCTTTTGAGCAGGTTAGCGCATCATGGTTTGTACCCGCTTTAGTTTCACTGCACAACTGGGCACTGGTAGGAGTCCAGTAGAGGAGACGGTGCCGGGTACCTACCTCACCATTAACAGGGGGAAACTACAATTATTTAATTTTTTAGAGTTTTAAACGAAATGTTTGAAAAACTAAAAAAAATATGTATAACACATTTTCTTGAATACCTAAAAACACTGAAAATCATATAGGATGACCATAGTGCTAGGCCCAAGAACGAAAAAAAACTCAATATTGTTGAGATTTGGGATATTTGACCAATTTTCCAAAAGCTAAAAACTTCTTTATAATTGAAACAAAATATTAAGCGTTTAAAAAGAAAAGGGTTATCATATACCTCCCCTAGAATTTATTCCTAGACCCTGTTGAATGGTTTGGGGCCGTTTATTACCGGGAATGGTCTTTTAAGGTTTGATATTCTCGGTAAAATTTTGTTGTGACACTATTTTAAGATAGTGGACCATGCTTCTTATTTGGATAATCTGATTTGAAAGAAAATATTTACCCCTGTACTTTTACCGGGAGATAGGCCGGGAGTTAAACTCTCCAAGAATAACATTCATATATTACATATACAAACATAATTTCCATAGACATGCTAAAGTTATGTCTACCAAAAGCTGTTTTTATTCAGTAAAACTATAAGACAGTGGTGAAACTATCAATAAAAAGTTCTGTTTTATTAGGCCGTTTTAGATGTTTGTTATCTCAAAATAAAAGAAGGGGTCATATACGAGTTGTTAAGTGATGCCATATAAAGAAGATGTGGAGAAGTATTTGAAATTGAATTTTAAATAAGGACGGATTGGGTCTGAAAGATTTTACGATTTTTTTTCCTTAAAAAATCGTATATTTTTACTAATAAAGATTATAATTTTCCAGAACTAGTAAATAAATCAAGAAAGGGTGAGCTTTCAATTTCATATCATTTTTCAAATCTTATTGAAATTAGCTTTAAATTTTTCCAAAAAAACGTGTAATTACATATTTTTTTGAGCGTTGTAGTAATTTGTTATAATCTCCAAGATTATAAATTCTAACGAACAGTTTCTACCTTCACAAGCCCTATATTTTTATCATCATTGTGCAATATGCATACTCTGGTAGGGAAAGAGGAAAGGGAAAGAGAAGAGAAGAGAAAAGGGAGTTTGAGGTATGCTTTTAGAGGTTTAAAGGATACCATATCGTAAAACGGACATGCACCTCTTTAAAGAGGGTCATTTAAAGTTACGTTTACAGTCCCTTTTCAAAATTGTTTGAACAGTTTCTAATTTTTATCTAGCCTTTTGATCATTTTGTTGATTAAAACGCCATCAATTGTCCATGGTAATGTCGCATAACTTTTACCTTCTTCTTTTAAAAATTAAGCCTGGGATACTATTTCAAAAGCTCTATGAAATTAATATGTTTCCAATGCTCACCCTAACGTTTTAGTTTCAATCACTTTCCCATCTAGAATATACAATTCAAACCACTGACTCAGCCTGTAATATGAGTTCTAATTACGACTTCTTAACATAAATTCTAACCTTCTAAACCTAAAAGTTTTATTTTATACAAATCATATTAACTATATACGAATGCGTCGAAAAATAATCGATAACTATAGGTTGTAATATCTGAATGAATTGTTTAAAATTAAATTGATTTTTTTATGATCCGAGTCGTATATTGTAATTTTCTGAATTTGTATGGACGCTACGTTCTTTAGTAAAGTCTTTTTAACAATTATCTCCTGATAGATGCAACAGATAGAAGTAAGATTAGTAGCGATTAAAAGCGATTATTTTTCGTAAACACTTCCTTTAAAGGGACTGTAAGCGTAATTTCATGTGACTCTCCATACAAAGATCGCATTGCCCGATTCACAACGGTACCCTTAAATCCTTCAACTGATCCATGTTGGCCGACTTATTCTCATTAATCTATAAAAACGCGTTTAATTGTTGTACACTAAATTTTCAAGCTGTTTTAAGTTTTTAAAATATTAATATTAACTTTCTAGAATTGGCAGAGAATAAATATTTTCTTGCGTATTATTGGAAACCGTTTTTTATGTTTTGAGGTCAAACTGTACACAGCGTACACCGCATTTTAGAGTGATTCAAGTGGTATTCAAGATATTTAAACAAAAAGCTCTCTGTGCTCAATGAATAGTAAAAGGTTTAAAAGGTTCCGTTGTAAATCGGGCATTGCCTTAAAAAGAGGGTTACTTGAAATTACACTTACAATTTCTTTAATGTGCTTTGCCTATACCCAATTAGTAATTATCTTACCAATTATTTTATTTCTATAGTTTATCTATACCTCCTCTTATCTTTCTTATTTAACTCCCAATTCATTGGATCCATTCACAATCATTCTGTTATAATATATTCCTAATTTATCGTTTCCAATTCTTTACTTTTCACTCTCCCAAGTCTCAATTATTTAATCCCAACTAGTTTGCTAGATCATTTTTTGTATCTTTGTTCTTGTTTATGAACTTATCGATCCTAACCTTAGTTGTGATCATTGTTTCTAATGATAAAAGATAAAAATGTGTTAGGCATATTATAATATCAACTTATCGATCCTAACCTTAGTTGTGATCATTGTTTGTAATGATAAAAGATAAAAATGTGTTAGGCATATTTTATTACTGTACAACATTAGACTTATTTATAAACACAGTAGTTGGAAACGATAGTTGAATACAGATCTTGCTTAGACACTTGACATACGATGATGATCTTAAGGTTTTTCTTCAGTCTAAACATTTTTGAATAAACCCTAAAGTTGTCTAAAGAAGTTAGCATGAAGAATAAGAAGGTTTAGAATACTTATTCTTAAAAGTTCCGGCATATACCTTTCTTTTATACAGTTAAACCCCAATTATTAAATACATCCAAAGAACTTATCAAATGTCGTATTCTTCACTTTCTAATAATGGAATGTTGCAGATATTTAGTTTTTTAATTAAATGATTATACAAAGCTCTTTAAAACTGTTCCCGCATATTCATGGCTATGGCTATATTTCGCAAATACTTAGAATTACGTAAAACAGTATGAAACCCATTGAAAAATTGTTACTACTAGACGACATTTAATAAATTCTTTCTATGTATTTAATATTTAGGGTTTAACTGTATTGTATTATTTTAATATCACATGGTATGCTATTAAGATAAAAAATGTTGAATGCGAATTTATTATGATGATCAATTAATCCTGATTTACAGAAAGGCCATACAAAACACTTTTACCCTTTAAAATAATACACTAAAAGATTTGTTTTAAAAACATGTTTTTTTTTGTTAATAATATTTCATAAAAACAAACTTTTTTAGTGCTTGAATCTTCAGATTAATATGCTGGAAGATTCGCTTAAAACATTTTTCTTTAACATTAATTTCTTTATAAATTTGATTTTTTTCTTAAATCATTAGGTATAGATTATTCAGTGGTTGTAGTATATACCAATACAATGAAGACGACTTAGAGTAAAAAAATTTAAACTCTTATACCAAGCTTTCACCAGCATGCAGATACACATAAACATGGAAACAAAGATAAACTGTCATTATACAGCTTCCCTTTGTTTACTTCATAACTTGTGAATTTAAAAAAGCTTGTTAGAAATCAAGGCTTAATTAGAAAAGTCGTCTTTATTGTACTAAAAGTAACGCCAACCACTGTACAAAACAAATTTATTTTAATCATTCTTGTCATCGTTGTTTTTTTAAAGCCCATTTAATGCCCAAGTGCCATGCTTCTTCCTGAATTTTCTTGTATATAATTAAATTTCGGAATATACAGCTAGGGTGTCTCCAAAAAAAACGGGGAATAATTTTCAAGATTGAGACCATTTTTAAAACCTATTTACAATTTCTGGTTTGTCGTATATATAACAATACAATGAAGACGACTTAGAGGTAAATTTTTTTACCTCTTAAAACAAGCTTTCACCAGCATGCAGATACACGTAAACATGGAAAAAAGATATACTGTCAATATACAGCTTCCCTTGGTTTACTTCATAACTTGTAAATTTAAAAAATCAAGACTTGAATAGAAAAGTCGTCTTTATTATACAAAACATATTTATTTTAATCATTCTTGTCATCGTTGTTTTTTTAAAGACCATTTAATACCCAAGTGCCAACTTCCTCCTGAATTTTCTTATAAAATTAAATTTCGGAATATACATAGTGTCTCCAAAAAAAAAACGGGGAATAATTGGGTCTAAAGACTCGTTTGTAACCCAATTTTCAAGACTAAGACCATTTTTAAAATCTATTTACAATTTCTGGTTTAATGAGACCAATTTTAGGCTTGTAGATCCAAAATTTACAATTTAATAGGCTCTTAAAGTTTTATAACGAATCTGTAGACCCTTATTCCCCGTTTTTTGGAGACATTCTGTATATTTCGTGATTCATGAATAAGTATGTATTTACCAATCTGTTGTAAGTGGTGGATTGCAAATCAAGCTTACCTTTCAATTTCATGGAGTGGGCCTTTCAGGTAGAGCAAGAAAAAAATCAAAATCTAAAGATTGCTTTTCTGCTTGGCTCCTTTTTTACAACTGGTTATTAATAATCTTCATTCGACATCGATTTAATTGATAAAGAAGTGATTTTAAATAAAATAAATGAAAACAAAAAGGACACAAAGATTAAAGAACCGTTACTGATAATTAATAGACTCAAAAAGTACAAATACACTTTTCATTGATAAAATATCATAAAAATGAAATCCTGCATCACTGGATCTAAACAGCTAGAATGCCCATTACAAACATGCTGGTTCATGGTCAATTCCTGGAATGATCACTAGAAGCAAGGGTCAAGTGACCGCTTTGGAATTCTTGTTTTCACTTGCTTTACTTCTGTTTTTATATCCCGACCTTCCATTATACCAAAGTTGTGTTTTATAGTTGTTACATGTTGGTTTATCATCCTATAAGTTCTTGCAATAGTTTGCAAGACAACACTCAATAAAGAATTAATCATAAATTTCCTTTTTTTAAAAGTATTTCCACATTTTATCTTGTATAGCTAATATACAGGGTGTCCCACGAAACATGACAGTATGCAAGAGGACTTGAATGTCGTCTTGATTTTTGATATACATTGCTGTGTTTATTTGTCAACCTGATTTTAGAAGTATAAAAAGAAACAATTGATTCCAACATTGATTTATTGTCAAATTTCTTATAAAATTTATGTTCCTAAACAACTAATTAGTTAAATGTTGTTACATTTTTCTGCGTCATTTTTGAAAAATTGTCATAAAACCGATCCTCAAAATCATCCCTCCAAAATGGACAATCAATGAAGATTTTAAATATTGAATTTGCGCTCTTGCTGTAAAAATATGTACCGTAAAAACGTCTAAAATGAGTCCTAAAACATTTCTCAATAATTCTGCAATCTTAGTTCAACTACTATACATTGCCAGTCACTCCCTTTAAACCCAAAACAACTCTAAAATACTACAAAATATTTCCCATAATTGTTGAAATAAAATAGAATTACCTGTATAGTCGGTTATTTGGATCCGACCCTTCTTCCATCACATAATCATATAATGACCTCGCTACAACCATCAAAGGCTTATCTAAATTATTCATTTTCTTACGCAATTCAAAACACTTTAACGTTAAACCTTCTTAGTCTGTTAAGCTAGATCTCAGCAATGTGCAAGTGTGTATATGTAGATTTCTTTATGTACACTGCATGTTTTCATGTGTTGAATGTATATTGTGCAGCTATGTAAAATGTATATATCAGGTGGACAATGATGAATGATCATACAAACGTCAATGCATAAGGACCAATGTAAGTGAAAAAGAAGCGTTTATGGGAGGGGGTTTAGTTATATTGTATTTTAGGTCATACTGACAACTGGGTGGGTAGATTTTCGATGTGTTTTTTTTTCATCTGAAAGATGTTTTAAATGAAAGTAATTGAATGGTTCCAGTGCATTTATTGACCAAATAGCCAAATAAGTGGTTTCTCTCTTTGAAAGTATGGGTTTTGAATAGAATCAACGGGCCTATGGTGTCCCTGTACCAAATGAAGACATTTGAAATGCCAGGGGAAAAGGGTGGTGGAATTTGATGAGAACAAAAATTCTATCTTTTTTAACTGAGATCTTCGTGAGAAATTTCATGTTCTGCGAATCTACCTGAACTAATCGCTTTTATTTTCGTTTGATAAAATGATTTGGCTATTTGTAAATTAAATTCTAATCAAATTCTATGAAGGAAATCCGTCGAAAATAACGTAAAAGGTGTTTTCCGGTACTTTCTGAATTGTAGCACTTGCATCAGACATTTTAAAAGTATTTTTATTTTATACCAATCCAAATAAATGGTCAACTTCAAAGTTTATAGTTGAGGTTGTATATAAATTTGATAACTCAGGGTTGTCTATATATCTCATGTGAGACCCTTTGATATTTCAATCATATGCATTCGAGTAGGGCTGGGAAAAGTTCCGTTAACGAAACGGCATTTTTCGAAAATTAACAAAAGAGTCCAGAAACAAACGGCAAAAACCGTTAATTTTCAAATCGTTGAAATAAAAAACCAATACTTCTGGTTTTGCGCATATTACGCAAAAACNTTTAAATTGTAAAAAGCATTTTTTCAAACCCCTCCAGTGAAAATGAATTCCCTCCGGTGGTCTCCAGTGGAGTCAAAATCTTACTACGAACTTCCGTGACTCAAGAGATTGCAGAATTGTTAGAAATATAAAGAACTAGTTTAAGGATATTATCTATGAGAAAAAATGATTTAAAAGAAATCTTTTTACTTTCATTTCATTTCTTGATATTTCATTCATTGTTGCATTGAGAAGAAGAAACACCTCTCTTGTGTAAAGAAAGTACAGAAAGTTTCATTATAATAAAGACGGAAAAAGTGGAAATAAAAAATTAATGGATAGAATTAAATGAATTTGAACTTCCTACCACCGGTTCAAATTTGAATCACCGATTCAAATCCTTCCTGAATCTTTAACTTTGAATTATGGTGGTTCAAATTTAAACCGATTGTTGGTAGTTTAGCGACGTTGCTCAAATTCATCCGAGTTTTATTTTTCGAAGTTTATTTTTCGACATCATACCTGTAAAGGCTTCGAATAGTGAAACCATAGTCTATTTGTAGCCCAAGAAGCAGGTACAGAGTACATTCTATCCTGGCTTCTGAGAAAATGTTTGTTGTGTAATGTAAATACATTGTACAATGACTATTATAACCAAGTAGGGCTGGGCACGTTCCAACTTTCGTTTCGTTATAGGTTAGTTCCATCTGTAAAAAAGAAAAATTTCCGGTAGCCATTAATGTTGAAGGTTAGAACGGAACTTTCATTTTGTTAACGACATCTTTCGTTTTTTATTAAAGTTACTGAACTGTAGTTAACGATCCCAATTTTTATTAATGGTGTTACCGGAAAATTTTTAACAACCGTTAGGGATTTCATGAAAATGACAACGACGGTTTATAAAATTTTTGACAGTTGCGAACACAAAAGACGACATTTAAAAACTTCAAAACACGTAATTTAATTTTAAAGAAGTTTAATGAAATTTTAATCAGAAATTTACTGTTTAAAAAATTCGTTTTGTTTCGTTTTCAACATATTAGTTTTTTTAATTGCTTCCGTTTCGTAAACGATTTAAAAATTAACCGTTAATTTTCGAAGACCTCTGTTTTGTTTACGAAACTTTGCCCAGCCCTATAACCAAGGAACATATGTCAAGTAGCGTTAATGAACTTTATAAAGGAACTTTCTAGTTTCTTTGATTTATGTATATGATAAATATAAAAGATGGAATCGATTAGGCCCGTCTTATCACGCTCTTACAGTGTTTTACTAATGACAACGACTTTTTACCTTTACATTAGTATTTCTCAAATATGCTTTTAGCCCATTTGGACGTTTACACTTTACATACATTTTACATGCTTCATTCTTTCCTGCAGGGGTTATATGGTACTTTGGAATTCTAGTTTTTTTTCCTTACGAGCTATTGAGAAGCTATTTGCATCAAAACAAATACTCGCTTTTTAATGTTTCCTTTTTAACTCCAGAAATAAGGATAAAGAATAAAATTATTTTTACTACTATAAAGGATGTAAACACCTGTAAAATCTCTGGCATGAACATTTTCCGTTTATATCTATGCCGATTGTGCTATTTTTGTCTGGGATTGCACAGACCTGCCTACTCTCCTACAAAAGGTTTTTGACTGCCATCTAACCGCCATTTGTTGCATTTAATACCCATTCAGGGGTTAAGTTTTACATTTTTTAAAGAATAACTCTAACTTTTAACATAAAATATAAAATTTATGAATTTTGTCTTTTTTTGATGGTTTTGTATTTCATATCCAAAGGACCTTAAATATTTCTGAAAATAGATGTGTTGTATTTGGTCGTGTAATCTGGTTAATTATAAATTATAATGAGAATTATGGATAATTACTTTTTACATTATTTTTGCAAGAAAGGTAAGAGGTTTAGGGGATTGCAAATTGAACATTATGAAATTGGACACATGGACAAATTGGTTCCTCTTTAAGAAAATAAAATAAAACAGAAAATGAATAATTTAAAGCTTATTTTTTTCAGTTTAAAAATAATTTTATACGCATTTTTGGTTTTGGTTTTGTCTGTAACAGTCCAAAACTCTGTGCAAAAGTTTATTTAGGCACAGGAAAAAAGTCATAGCATGTATTGAATTGGTTTGAAGGAAATAAAGTCATGAATTGTCATCTAAAGTTACGGTACGGTTTTATACAGGAAAAAAGTCATACATATATAATTGTACTGCATTTTATTTAACAATGAAAGCATGATAAAAATGTTATCCGCACTACCCTCTTCCTGAAGGATACACAGTTCAAAGTTGAAAAACGGGCATTTTATACTTACTGTGGTTGGAGGGTCCTTCATGTCATCGTCATCTGTGTTACTTTGCACTTTAAAGATCGTCAATGTTAAATAAAGGCCGTCAGTAAAGCCCTAAGGTCGCGTGGTAAGAGTAAGACGGGCCGATTCGATATTAGGATATAGAGGGCTATTTCCTGTTTCAAAATATTAGGATATAGAGGGCTATTTCCTGCTTCAAAATATTAGGATACAGAGGGCTATTTACTGTTTCAAAATATTAGGATATAGAGGGCTATTTACTGTTTCAAAATATTAGGATATGGAGGGCTATTTCCTGTTTCAAAATATTAGGATAGAGAGGGCTATTTCCTGTTTCAAAATATTAGGATATAGAGGGTTATTTACTGTTTCAAAATATTAGGATATAGAGGGCTATTTTCTGTTTAAAAATATTAGGATATAGAGGGCTATTTACTGTTTCAAAATATTAGGATATAGAGGGCTATTTCCTGTTTCAAAATATTAGGATATAGAGGGCTATTTCCTGTTTCAAAATATTAGGATATGGAGGGCTATTTCCTGTTTCAAAATATTAGGATATAAAGGGCTATTTTCTGTTTCAAAAATATTAGGATTTAGAGGGCTATTTCCTGTTTCAAAATGTGTCTCTGATATTTTACCTCTGCAGTTTAATTTCGTTGGAGCTTATTCGTTCTCTGGCGAATAGAGATACAAATCATTACTTTATTCAATCAAAATGTTTAAAAATTCTTTTTAATGGAAAGATATGTCAAAAGAAAAAGTATCTCTAAGTTTCCTGGTAAAATGAAGTCCAAAAAATTCTTCCCTCAATGCTTGATGAGCGAGGATATAATTCATCTTGTTCATGTCAACATTTCTAAGAGAACAATATCAAAAACAAATTAAAAATATTTATCTAAAACTTTATCTTTAATTCTGTTATTCTTAGCAAACAATAAGTTTTATACATACCTAAAAGCTTCATTTGAGGGAGCTAAGAGGGTTCCATCCTACAAATATTTTGGATTGTTTATTTAAAATTATAGATTTTATTTAGAGATATTAGTCATTTTCAATTCAAATTATGAGCATAGTGATTACAATGAACATTCACTAATTTTATCTAATTTCAAATAAGAAGGAGCGAAGTTTAGAAAATGACTAACAAACTATTTAAACAATTTTAATTACGGGATTTACACAATGTGCTAAATATGTTAGTACATGACTTACAAGTTGCAGCATGTTTGTATATTGTCTTGTATATTGTTTTTCTGCATTCGAAAAAAAATTGGAGGATGTTCATTTCGCATTCTTTATCAACTAATAGGAAAATTGTTTCTGAACTGCATGGTTTTCACTAAACTAAAGAAAACTAGTGAAAGCTGCAAACATGATTCCTGACTGGTTTTCAGGTTTCTTTGATACTAACCTTGCTTTCAAGAATAGTTTCGCCGAAAAGCCCCCCTTTATCTTTAATTAGCTGAGCGAACCTAGAAATATTTATCATTAGTATTTACATCAATATCGACATCAACATCAAAATTATACAGTGAAACCCTTAATAACGAATACATCGGAAGATATTATCAAATGTCGTCTTGACAATTTTTTAATGAGTTTTATACTATTTTACGTAAATATGTGAAAATAGATAAATAGCCATGAATATGCGGGAACAGTTTTAAAGAGTTCCATATAATCATTTAATTAAAAAAACTAAATATCTGCAACATTCCATTCTCACAAAGTGAAGAATACGACATTTGATGAACTCTGTCGATGTATTCGTTATTAAGGGTTTCACTGTAGGCTCCTGAAGTTTTATAACGAATCTGTAGACCCTTATTCCCCGTTTTTTTGAGACATTCTGTATATTTCGTGATTCATGAATAAGTACGTATAAACCAATCTGTTGATAGTTGTGGATTCCAAATCAAGCTTACCTTTCAATTTCATGGAGTGGGCCTTTCAGTTAGAGTAAGAAAAAAATCAAAATCTAAAAATTGCTTTTCTGCTTGGCTCCTCTTTTTACAACTGGCTATTAATAATCTTCATTCGACATCGATTTAATTGATAAAGAAGTGATTTTAAATAAAATAAATAAAAACAAAAAGGACACAAAGATTAAAGAACCGTTACCGATAATTAATAGACTCAAAAAGGACAAATACACTTTTCTTTGATAAAATATCATAAAAATGAAATCCTGCATCACTGGATCTAAACAGCTAGAATGCCCATTACAAACATGCTGGTTCATGGTCAATTCCTGGAATGATCACTAGAAGCAAGGCTCAAGTGACGGCTTTGGAATTCTTGTTTTTCACTTGCTTTACTTCTGTTTTTATATCCCGACCTTCCATGCATTGCATCAAAGTTGTGTTTTATAATTGTTACATATTGGTTTATCATCCTATAAGTTCTTGCAATATTTGGCAAGACAACACTCAATGAAGAATTAATCATAAATTTTCTTTTTTAAAAGTCTTCCTACATTTTATCTTGTACAGATAACATAGCTTTGTCAATTCTAAATACTTCTCTAAAAAACATCAATATCGACATCAACATCAAAATTATACAGTGAAACCCTTAATAACGAATACATCGGAAGATATTATCAAATGTCGTCTTGACAATTTTTCAATGAGTTTTATACTATATCACCTAAATTTCAGCATTTGCGAAAATAAATAAATATCCATGAATATGCGGGAACAGTTGTAAAGAGTTCCATATAATCATTTTATTAAAAACTAAATATCTGCAACATTCCATTATCAGAAAGTGAAGAATACGACATTTGATGAATTCTTTCGATTTATTCGTTATTAAGGGTTTCACTGTAATATCTCTGCAAAGAAAATATGGCTTGTAAATCTCTCATTAAAATCATTTGTTTTGAAAACTAATATTACTTATATTCCCAGTATTAAATGTAACTATAATTATAAAATATAAACCTAATTTAATGTTTGTGGAATTACAAAATTTCTAAGAAGTCTAGTTTAACAAGTGTAAGGATAAAAAATATTATGAAATTGATCATTGTTGATTATTTGCTTATATCACCAACCAAACGCTAAAGGAATCGACACCTGTATAACAAAGACGACTTTCAGATTTACTTACAAAGTTATTTGTATAGTGATTTTATGGTATACATTCAGCAAATGATCGGACATCCAAACATCCGAAAAGAGATTACAACTTTATTTATAAAGATACTAGCTTGGGAACCCAGCGTTGCCCAGTGCACTCATAGTTACTCCCGCTGTTTAACCGCACCTGGTCTTAAATTACGATTTTAGATATTCTTTACTATTAAATGTCGACCCATTCAACTTAGAATCTCAAAACCAAGCTAAGAACATTTCCGTGGCTCTCCTAAGTTACCCAAATAAAATTTAAGGCAATTCGGTCCAGGGGTTCAAGTGTTATGATCGGACATAAATACAAAAAAACAGAGATTACTAGTCCAAAGCAGCACAAACTAAATGGCATCGTTGTAATACCAGTTCTGATTTGTGTTTGCAGAAGTTTTGCAGGATATTTCGTTATTCGTGATGAACATAAATCGTTTGTACAAATCTAAGGATATTAGGGTAAAATATAAAAGTCTGCAGTTTTCCTTTATAAGATATTCAGTTAACAATTATAAACAATGTTTTAAAAGTGGTACACAGAAACATATAATTCATCTTAAACCGATTCAAATTCAAATTTCAAAACCGTGATTCCTTACCTTTAATTTTCAACATTTTTACAGTGAAAACCATAAAACTATTGAATAGGAAGACGACATTAAAGTGAAAATTAAGTGAACTTGATGTTGTTAATAAGCAAATATCTTACTTGTAGTTGTTTAAATCAGTTTTCAAATAAAATGGGTCTGTTACTCTGGTCATTTGCTATGTCTCATGTTTATGGCACTTTTTAAAACCATGACTTGAGTCTTAGGGTCGCCTTCCTATTCCAGAGTTTTCTGGTTCTCACAATATATTCAACATGTCAAATGAGTAAAAACCATTATTGTCAGACTTTCTGAGCTTAAAAAAATGAAGGCACTTTGAAAACTGGATGGGAATTCAATTTACAGTGGATGAAACCAGGAATATTTAAAAAGATCTTTTCTTGTTCTAAACAGAAAACAACGTAATTTGCAGTATATTTTCATTTTGCATATTTATTTATTTACACATGTTTTATACTATATTAATTATCTTTTCTATTTTAGTTTTTGATCATAATTTCTGAACTTCTGTTTTATCCATGAGTATTTTCGATCTTTGATCATAAAAAGTGATAATTTAACTTGACATTACGTCAATGGAATGGGAGAATAGCATCGAGAATGCAAAGAATAAGAGAAAAACTGGCCACAAACTGACCGGCCGGCTGTTTCCGCTAGTCATGGGAAATTCAAATATTTGACGCTCATCCATCATAACTGTGTCCACGAGGTGAATATAACCGTTTATACACTCTATATTTGGTCTTACAACCTTTCCCTGAAACAATATAATTCAATTAATAATGTATTATTTACTTTCAGAAAGTTAGAAACAATTGAAATATAAACAACCTAGAAATTCAATAATAAAGGAATTGAGTCTTTGTCTCAAACTCAAATTGTCTAACCCCAATATCTTAGCAACTTGATGGTGCAAACCTTTGATATTTCAAAACTTAGATTATTTGATCTACCAGAAATCTCAGTTTGAAATATATAAGGTCTACGGCATTAGGTTGCAAAGATATAGGGACAAGAAAATCTAAGTTTGGGGCTTAGACTCAAATCCTTTTAGGGTGAAGAATCCCTGGGTTTAAATTTCCTTTAATTAAAATTTTTCTGAGAGTTAATGATACATTTCTAACTCATCATGAACCTGCATTATAGTGCATGAAAACTATTTTAGATAAGCTGGATTCATTTAAAATTGTTACGCAATAAAAAACAGCTTTTTATATAGGAATGTATTTGGGATTCAATGATAAATCCTTGGGCCACGCTGCTGTCGGGATTATCATTACATCCTGAAGGAATTTCAATAATCTTTTGTTTTAAATAATCAATATTAAAACTTTCAAACATTTTTTTCAGTTGACTGAATTTGTAATTATTTTACTTTTAATCATTAAACAGTTTCATTAGCATGATATATATATATATATTACCTTTATTTTGTCCCATGAGACATACCAATCTTTGTATGCGTTAAACTGAAATTCTCCTACTCCTGTTATGGTCAGCTCTCCACCCTGTAATATTTATCGTACGATTTCCAGCAATGATAAAACTATTAAAGTTTACAGCCATAACAGCTGGTTTTCTATGTTGAGCGGGTAAATTTTGTTCCGGAGAATAACGAGAAAACAGAAAACATTAACAATAGAAGCCTAAATCACATTTTTTGAACAGTTACAATTTCATCAATTTTATCCCACAACCAAAAATACAAATCAAATCAAATCTATCCAACCAAACCACATCAAATACAAAACTTTTCAAATTAAAATGTTTTCATATTTTTGTTCCAATTTAGCTTAGAATGAGAGATTCAGTTACAATTTCTGATAAAAATGTAATTTTTGTGTATAAAACCATTTTACGAATTTCAAAAATGGCTTTGTTTAGTAATTTTACGTTTTAATCATATTCCTCATAAAACCCTTGCACTGTTAAGATTTAATTATCAACCTCCGTTGGAACTGTAGTTGTTGGATTTCTTAGACTTCTTTCCACTAACTGTTCTATTGTGAAGTCTCTATCTGATATAATCAAGTGCCTTTGTAGAATTCTTGTTGCCTATAAAAAAGAGTTTGCATGTGATATTGTATATTAATTCTTTTTTAACTACAGTTTAACCCAAAACATCGGAGACAACGAAAAGAATGTATAAAATGTTGTATTCTAAGTCAATTATACTAATAATGGAATGCTGCAGATATTTAGTTTTTTCTAATTGAATAATTATATGGAGCTCTTTAAAACTGTTTCCGCATATTTCATGGATATTTATTTATTTTTACAATTACTAAGATCTATGTATAAAAGTTAAAACCCATTAAAAAAGACGCCATTTTATAATTCTTTTGATGACTCCAAAATTCTGGGTTTAACTGTGGCTAAATTCCGAATTTTAAATTTTTCGTAAGTTTCAAATTTTAAGTTTTATTATTCAGATATGCGTGGTTAGATAAATTTCATTTCATTATCATCAAACAGATCTCTTCAAGAAATGCTTATTCACTATTCAGTCCTCGGACACAAAAAAAAAATTTGGAGACTTGATTTGAGACATAACAATTTAAAATCTAGGTTTGCTGTACAACAAGTCCCAAATTCAACCAGCAAACCTTTTTAATAAATAGGGTTATTGATGACAATTTGATGTGGACTTAAGAAATTATTTCCAGGAGGTCAAATCGTGGCGTCTGCACTCTGCAGTCTGCAGTGCAAATGATTGTTCAAAAGGAACTGAGTTTTTGCCACAAATTATGATTTTACAATCGCCATATCTTTTCAACCTGATGGTGCAAACCTTTGATATTTCAAAATATCATTATTTGATCTAAAATGATTCATAGTTTGAAATATCTAAGGTCACCGACATTCAAATGCAAAGATATAGGGATAAGAAAATCAGAGTTTGTGACAAAAGCTCAATACCTTTCTTTACAAAGTTTTTATACCTACTGCCTGAAGGCTCATACAGTAGGTATAAAAGCTCAGTTTTTATACCTACTGCCTTAGGGGGCTCATACAGTAAGTATAAAAGCTCAGCTTTTAGACTTAAGTAAGGGGCGAAAAATAGGAATAGAGTTAACAACATATTTTATTTTTATCAAACAAATACTTACGAAGTCGGGTGTGTTTATGTCTGTTAAGCTTCGAAATGCCTAAAATATCAAATTCTTATATCTACACTAATATAAAACTTAAGATTTTTTAGGATATTATAATCCTAATGCAATTTTGTAAATTAATTGGCACTTTACTAAACCATTAATTGCTAATGTTAAACGACGCTGAAAAATGTTAGTTTTGCATTTTTTATTGAGAAAGTTTCCAAGGACAATACTTTTTAGGCCATATCTTAATTCCTTAACCAATAGAAATAAATTGTGCTCAATTTGGTTCAGTTGTTTCTATCTTTTTGAACAAGCCGAAAAAAAGACAAGGCAATAATTATACCTGCGTAAAATCTCTCTTAACCTTTTCCCAAGCAGCATTAGTTGGAACCATCATAGTTATCCTTAATGAAAATTGTATTTTATTCACACAAGTGGTATGTTTTCAAATAATTTAAAGGTATCGAACCATTTTTATGTTGCCCCCCCCCCCAATAGTATGCGTTGTGTTTACCTGGCCCCAGGTGAGTTTCTTAAAAGTAAACTAGAAAGACGTGTAGCTACTGCCAAACTCCAAGAATGACTAAATAAAAGAAGTTATAGATAATTCAATGAAATAAAAACTTGAAATAGCATGAAATGTAAAATCAATTTTGTTCATCAAATTTTTCGTAAATTTGCTCGTAGTTTACGCAGAAAAATGTTGGCACATGGCAACGTATTTTGCACGAAAAATGCAGACAAAAATGTGCAACAAAATATGTAATCGGCGTAAAATTATGTCATATTGCGGGGCTAATGAAAATTATGACTTTTTGTTGTACCCAACCCCTGGACTATATTTCTCTCTAAAACTACGTGTCTCTACGAATTAAGGAGCTATAAAACAAAACTCTGCGAATTTTTGGAATAAATCGATTTTATAATTGGTTAAGAATTAGTGAGAATTCCAGAATTATCGAATTATCGAATTATTCAAAGCCTTAGACAAAGAAAGATATTGAAATAAAAATGTTATGCAGTAATCTGCATAAAACAAACTTCTCAAAGTATTATTTTCGATGTATTTTAAGTGTTAGATTGTATTGGCATATCCAGTATCCACAGTAAAGTTCACTAACTGCTCATCGATTCTTGTAAAGTTGTATTTCAATCAAAAAATCTTCTTTTTTACTGCATTCCCTTCATTCTAAGCCAGGTTATTTATGAAATTCAAATGAAACAAGTAAGATTATTGGGAGGTTTAAAGAAAATTGCAACTGTATTTTAAAGGTCATATAATTTTTTTCTTAAAAAAATTATCATATATGCACAATATATGATAATTTTTTTAAGGATTTTTTTTTCAAGGATTTTTCAATTGAAAAACAATTAAACAAATAATTATCTAAGTATCTATCTATATAACGTGATGTCTCAATTAGATTTTGAGGTTTTCAAGTTAAGCTGGGTTTTTTTTTTATCTATTTGCTTGTAGTTGAAGCTAATTATTATGTCTAGAGATATGTAAAGAAGAACGTATACATTTGTTTAATTTGTCACATTGCTAATTAACAAATTCACATTATGTTTTTTATACTCTTCAAGTAGTATAGAATGATAAACCCGATTTTCTTAATCTTTCTGTCCTAGCTTGATGAACCATGAAACAGTATTCTAGTACTTAGTGCGCGAGAAAAGTTAAAGAAAATAATTCTCAATGGCCAAATATTATTTTTACCTAATTTTTTCAATGATGCGACGGATAGATTGCATTTATATTACTGCAGTGTAAAAAATAAATTATACCTTAGTAAAATTCTTGAATTTTTTTCAATCCCATTTATCCAGAGATTAAACAATGTAATTACCTCATTCCAGGGTCTGCAGCCATCTTATCTCCAATTGACTGAAACGGAACACCAAGTATTCTTATTAAAAGAATTATTCTTTTTTATTAAGTAAGGTACACTTTCAACGTATTTACGGTAAAATGTACTTTTGATGAAAAACTAATTCATAGTTTTAATTTTATGATAATTCTGTTTTCCTGTCTATAATATGTATAACTCCATTCACCGTTCCAATATCTTTCTCTAAATTAAATAAATTTTGACATTTAGAATGGTTGGCTAGTATGAAAGTTGAAAATATGATATTGTTACCTAAAACTGATGCGTTGACACCTCTTCCTTCGACGGTCAAAGACTTAAAATTTGTATCTAATTAATCTAATGTTTAAACAATCAATACATCTAAGAAGTGTTTATTAATAGAAATTATTTTGCGTACACACAGTTTGCAAAGATTTTGCCAAGATAGAGGGATAATTTTAGCCATGATATTATTTTTTTGTAGAACAATTCTAAAGTTTTCTTATTTTCTCAAAATGTTCAAGTTAAAAAAACAAGATAAGATTGTCAGAAATTTTATTTTTAATATAATTATTGTACTACAGGGTGTCCCACGAAACATGACAGTATGCAGGACGACTTGAATGTCGTCTTGATTTTTGATATAATTTGCTGCGTTTTTAAAATTTGATATTATGGAGTTTGTATTTCAGAAGTTTTTATTTTCACGAGTTTAATGTTTAATTTTTATGTAAGACGACATTCAATAAAGGTGCATTTTTTTTCAAAACCGATCGTTTTTCCAAAAACTACCGTTTTTATAAAGTTTGTCGTTTCGTTAACGAGCATTAACATAATTTTTTTTTTCAAAAACGATCGTTTTCTAAAACGATTAACAACCCTAAATGTTATTTAGGCAAACTATTGTTATCTAAGAAAAGTCTATATAGACAAAATATAATCTAGGCAAAATGTTATCGAGACGTAAAGCTACCAGGGGAAACTATTATTATAGCCTTAGTCAGAATTCTTCTGACATAAATAAAATATATTTTTGAACGAGAGACTTTTATACATACAAGCAATATGGTCGTTCTGTTTCTATATATATATTATATAAGCCTACTTTTTCTAAATTGGTTTTTCATTAATAAAAATCTACAATTGGGGAAATATATTCTCATGGCTAGTATTTTTGGAGATTTTTAGATAACTCCTCCTTAAACACAATTTATATTGTATTTTTTATCATATTTTATGAATGAATTATGGTATATACCCTTTTTATATTAAAATTCATTTATTTAATCCCATTTTAAATCCTCCAATCATTCTTATTTTTTGCTTTATGCTTTTTTAACAATGAACATTCACAACTAATAAAGCAATAATATACACAATTGTTGGAAAAAAATTTCACAATTTTGTTTTTGAAAATCATTTGCTTTATTTAATAGAATGTCTAAATAAATCTCTAAATGGTTGAAAATGACCTTCAGTGATCTATACTGTGATACTGGGATACAGTGTAAAGTAGATATCTCAATACTGCTTAATTTTTAAATTAGATTTTAAAGAAACCTAGAGACACGTTAGAAATTTTCTACAGGCGAGCAAATACTAGTCAAAAGGGCGTTCATACAATATTAGCAAATTTTTAAAATGTTCCTGAACCCGGGGCTGAGAGTTTGTACAAATACGTGCAAATATATATACCACGCAATGTTAGCTAAAGAACTAAACTTTTACCAATAAACACAATAATCTAAGAGATTGGACTCAAAGAAGTTTGTAGTAAGATTTCGATTCTGCTGGAGATCACCGGAGGGATTTTATTTTCACTGCGAGAAAAGTTAAAGAAAATAATTCTCAATGGCCAAATATTATTTTTACCTAATTTTTTCAATGATGCGACGGTATAGATTGCATTTATATTACTGCAGTGTAAAAAATAAATTATATCTTAGTAAAATTCTTGAATTTTTTTCAATCCCATTTATCCAGAGATTAAACAAT